ATGGATCCAACCCGAGGACACGACCCCCCAGATCCAGAACCAGGAGACTCTCAGCACCTTCCTGCAGGAGATCTCCTTCATGTTGTAGAGTCCCATTCCTCCATGAGGGCGGCCATTGGAGGCTCAGCAGAGGCTGGACTTGCTTCTCCTGCCTTCACCGCCATGGATCCAACCCGAGGACACGACCCCCCAGATCCAGAACCAGGAGACTCTCAGCACCTTCCTGCAGGAGATCTCCTTCATGTTGTAGACTCCCATTCCTCCATGAGGGCGGCCATTGGAGGCTCAGCAGAGGCTGGACTTGCTTCTCCTGCCTTCACCGCCATGGATCCAACCCGAGGACACGACCCCCAGATCCAGAACCAGGAGACTCTCAGCACCTTCCTGCAGGAGACCTCCTTCACATAGAGACATCGTCTCATTCCTCCATGAGGGCGGCCATTGAAGGCTCAGCAGAGGCTGGACTGGAAAAGCTGTGTGCAGGGCAATGCTTCCCCGGGATGGGAACTACATGCCTCCTCTACATCGGCCCATGATTCCTCAATGGAGTCACCTGACATGGGAGGGTCACCTGATCACCGGCCACTGTGGACTCCATCCATTGGTCGCTTGGAAAGAGGTGGAATTGGATTGGACTGTCTGGCTGTAGATTGTGTTGTGTGTATGGGGGGCGTTGTTCCTACAAACCTCCATTGTATGTATCTGCTCTGCTCCTCATGTATATATAATGAGGGGGCGTGGCTCTGCGATGTCCGTCCTACAAGGTGACTCTGTCATTGGAATAAACTAATCTTTGTATTTTATTACTACAGTGTGGCCCCCCCCCGGTCCGTAACTCCTCCCCCGTCACAGCAGGTAGCTCCAAATACACCCGTCCTAACCCCATTACACCCGATATACACCCATCCTACCCCCACAACACCCCAAGAGTCCCACCCTCATATACACCCGTCCCACCCTCATATACACCCGTCCCACCCTCATATACACCCGTCCCACCCTCATATACACCCGTCTTACCGCCTCTATTACACCCGTCCCACCCTCATATACACCCATCCTACCCCATTACACCCGTCCTACCCTCATATACACCCATCCCTACCCCATTACACCCATCCCTACCCTTATATACACCCATCACACCCTCATATACACCCGACCTACCCCACTACACCCGTCCTACCCTTATATACACCCGTCCCACCCTCATTACACCCATCCTACCCTCATATACACCTATCACACCCTCATATACACCCGACCTACCCCCACTACACCCCGTCCTACCCTCATATACACCCGTCCCACCCTCATATACACCCGTCCTACCCCCACATACACCCGTCCCACCCTCATATACACCCGTCTTACCGCCATTACACCCGTCCCACCCTCATATACACCCGTCCTACCCCCACAACACCCCCTACCCCTCTTACACCCGTCTGCATACCCCATTACACCCGTCCTACCCCATTATACCCGTCCTACCCTCATATTCAACCGTCTTACCCCATTACACCCGATATACATCCATCCTACCCCCCATTACACCCGTCCCACCCTCATATACACCCATCCTACCCCCACAACACCCGTCCTACCCCATTACACCCGTCCCACCCTCATATATACACCCATCCCACCCTCATATACACCCGTCCCACACCCTCATATACACCCGTCCTACCCCCACAACACCCGTCCCACCCTCATATACACCCGTCTTTACCGCCATTACACCCGTCCTACCCCCATTATACCCGTCCTACCCTCATATTCAACCGTCTTACCCCCATTACACCCGATATACATCCATCCTACCCCCTCAACACCCGTCCCACCCTCATATACACCCGTCCCACCCTCATATACACCCATCCTACCCCACATACACCCGTCCTACCCCATTACACCCGTCCCACCCTCATATACACCCGTCCTACCCTCATATACACCCATCCTACCCCTCATATACACCCATCACACCCCCACTACACCCGTCCTACCCTCATATACACCCGTCCTACCCTCATATCCCACCCTCATATACACCACCCCCCATATACACCCGTCCTACCCCCACAACACCCCGTCCCAACCTCATATACACCCATCCTACCCTCATATACACCCATCCCACACCCTCTTATACACCCATCCTACCCCCCACAACACCCGTCCCACCCTCATATACACCCCGTCCCACCCTCATATACACCCATCACACCCTCATATACACCCGACCTACCCCCACTACACCCGTCCTACCCTCATATACACCCATCCCACCCTCATATACACCCGTCACTACCCCCACAACACCCGTCCCACCCTCATATACACCCGTCTTACCGCCATTACACCCGTCCCACCCTCATATACACCCGTCCCACCCTCATATTCAACCGTCTTACCCCATTACACCCCGATATACATCCATCCTACCCCCATTACACCCTCATATACACCCAACCTACCCTCATATACAGCTGTCCCATCTTCATATACACCCATCCCACCCTCATATACACCCGATATACACCCGTCCCACCCCTCATATACACCCGTATATACACCCATCCTACCCTCATATACACCCGTCCCACCCTCATATACACCTGACCTACCCCCACTACACCCGTCCCACTCCCATTACACCCTCATATACACCCATCCTACCCCCATTACACCTCCATATACACCCGTCCCACCCCCATTACACCTCCATATACCTGTCCCACCCCATTACACCTCCATATACCTGTCCCACCCCCATTACACCTCCATATACACCCGTCCTACCCCCAATACACACCCGTCCTACCCCCATTACACTTTATATACACCAATCCTACCCCCATTACACCTCATATACACCAGTCCTACCCCCATTACACCTCATATACACCCGTCCCACACCCATTACACCTCATATACACCCGTCCCACCCCCATTACACCTCATATACACCCGTCCCACCCCCCATTACAGATCATATACACCCGTCCCACCCCCCCCATTACACCTCATATACACCCGTCCCACCCCCATTACACCTCATATACACCCGTCCTACCCCCCCAATACATCTCCATATACCTGTCCCGCCCCATTACACCTCATATACACCCATCCAACTCACTATTAAACCTGATATAAACCCGTCCCGCCCCATTACACCTCCATATACCTGTCCTACCCCCATTACACCTCATACACCCATTCCACCCCCATTACAGATCATATACACCCATCCCACCTCCATTACACCTGATATACACCTGTCCTACCCCCATGACACCTGTCCTACCCCATTACCCCTGAGATACACCTGTCCTACCCCCTTTACACCTGAAATACACCCGTCCTACCCCTATTACACCTGAAATACACCCGTCCTACCCCCGTTACACCTGAAATACACCCGTACTACCCCCATGACACCTGTCCTACCCCCCATTACCCTGATATACACCTGTCCTACCCCCCATACACCTGAAATACACCCGTCCTACCCCCATTACACCTGAAATACACCCGTCCTACCCCCGTTACACCTGAAATACACCCGTCCTACCCCCCCATACACCTGAAATACACCCGTCCTACCCCCCCGTTACACCTGTCCTACCCCCATTACCCGATATACACCTGTCCTACCCCCATTACCCCTGATATACACCTGTCCTACCCCCATTACCCCTGATATACACCTGTCCTACCCCCATTACCCCTGATATACACCTGTCCTACCCCCATTACACCTGAAATACACCCGTCCTACCCCCATTACACCTGAAATACACCCGTCCTACCCCCATTACACGTGATATACTCATGTCCGACCCCCATTACACGTGATATACACCCGTCCGACCCCCATTACACGTGATATACACCCGTCCGACCCCCATTACACGTGATATACACCCGTCCGACCCCCATTACACGTGATATACACCCGTCCGACCCCCCATTACACGTGATATACACCCGTCCTACCCCCATCACACGCGATATACACCCGTCCTACCCCCATCACACGTGATATACACCCGTCCTACCCCCATCACACATGATATACACCCGTCCTACCCCCATTACACATGATATACACCTGTCCTACCCCCCATCACACGTGATATACACCCGTCCTACCCCCATCACACATGATATACTCATGTCCTAACTGGCACATGCCTGGGCTGGGACACCATTGGAAATCTTATGTCTTGTGAAGTTGATGGCAGATTATCCTCCAATGGAGTCTGATGACTTCTCTCTGCACACAATCTGTGATTGCGGAGTTCAGCCTTCCGATGTTTGGGTTTGGACCACCACCATTGTCAATCTGAACACTGAGGGGGAAGTATGGGGCCCTTTAGATAGGCAGCCCTGAGCTCAGCTGATTGGCTGTTGTTTTCACATTGGATTTGGATGAAAGGTGTGAAGATCTCGCTGTGTCCAGGACAGGATATCATGATGTGTCAATGACTGTTCCTGCTTTATTAGAGACCATCAGAGAGGCCTACAGATGATGGGAGAGCAGCCTAGAATGACCTGAAGGGTCCCATTAGCTGGGGAAGATGGCGGATATTCCCGCCACATCAAAGACCACTAGTGGCCGAACCCCAAACGCCCCAGACGTGGTACACAGAGGACACGACACCCGCTATAAAAACCTCCTGAACTTTATGAGATGGAATATTCCAGACTTTCATTTGATGGGCCCCAGGCAGCCATATGTAGAGGATTGTCCCAAAGTCACTTCCTTCCAATGTCCTACCAGAGAGGGACCATGGAAAGTCACACCGTCTCCACCAACAATGGGACAGTGTCTGCCCCCCGGTCACAGAGCTTCGATGGGCCCCCTCTGCCCAGTGTGGGGTCCGGAGGGTCCTGGAGGCCTCTTCTCTCAAAACGTGGAATCGGGCTGCTCCGTGGACAGACGCTGGTGTGCAGAAGTGAGAAACGGTCAGATGGGGGCGCTAACCCTACTCCCGACTCTCCAACAGCATCTTCCTGTACGGTTCAAAATCCTCTGGAATCGTGTCTGTGGGGGCAGGAGAGAGGACAGTGCATGAGGACCACCGAAAGACCACGCCTGATATACCTGAGATGTACGCTCACCTGTACACCTGAGATGTACGCTCACCTATATACCTGAGATGTACGCTCACCTGTATACCTGAGATGTACGCTCACCTGTATACCTGAGATGTACGCTCACCTGTATACCTGTATACCTGAGATGTACGCTCACCTGTACACCTGAGATGTACGCTCACCTGTATACCTGTATACCTGAGATGTACGCTCACCTATATACCCGAGATGTACGCTCACCTGATATACCTGAGATGTACGCTCACCTGTATACCTGAGATGTACGCTCACCTATATACCTGAGATGTACGCTCACCTGTATACCTGAGATGTACGCTCACCTGTATACCTGAGATGTACGCTCACCTGTATACCTGAGATGTACGCTCACCTGTATACCCGAGATGTACGCTCACCTATATACCTGTATACCTGAGATGTACGCTCACCTGTATACCTGAGATGTACGCTTACCTGTATACCTGAGATGTACGCTCACCTGTATACCTGAGATGTACGCTCACCTGTATACCTGAGATGTACGCTCACCTGTATACCTGAGATGTACGCTCACCTGTATACCTGTATACCTGAGATGTACGCTCACCTGTATACCTGAGATGTACGCTCACCTGTATACCTGAGATGTACGCTCACCTGTATACCTGAGATGTACGCTCACCTGTATACCTGAGATGTACGCTCACCTATATACCTGAGATGTACGCTCACCTGTATACCTGAGATGTACGCTCACCTGTATACCTATATACCTGAGATGTACGCTCACCTGTATACCTGAGATGTACGCTCACCTGTATACCTGAGATGTACGCTCACCTGTATACCTGAGATGTACGCTCACCAGTATACCTGAGATGTACGCTCACCAGTATACCTGAGATGTACGCTCACCAGTATACCTGAGATGTACGCTCACCTGTATACCTGAGATGTACGCTCACCTGTATATCTGTATACCTGAGATGTACGCTCACCTATATACCTGAGATGTACGCTCACCTATATACCTGAGATGTACGCTCACCTATATACCTGAGATGTACGCTCACCTATATACCTGAGATGTACGCTCACCTGTATATCTGTATACCTGAGATGTACGCTCACCTGTATACCTGAGATGTACGCTCACCTGTATACCTGAGATGTACGCTCACCTGTATATCTGTATACCTGAGATGTACGCTCACCTGTATACCTGAGATGTACGCTCACCTGTATACCTGAGATGTACGCTCACCTGTATATCTGTATACCTGAGATGTACGCTCACCTGTATACCTGAGATGTACGCTCACCTGTATATCTGTATACCTGAGATGTACGCTCACCTGTATACCTGAGATGTACGCTCACCTGTATACCTGAGATGTACGCTCACCTGTATACCTGAGATGTACGCTCACCTGTATATCTGTATACCTGAGATGTACGCTCACCTATATACCTGAGATGTACGCTCACCAGTATACCTGAGATGTACGCTCACCTGTATACCTGAGATGTACGCTCACCTGTATACCTGAGATGTACGCTCACCTGTATACCTGAGATGTACGCTCACCTATATACCTGAGATGTACGCTCACCTGTATACCTGAGATGTACGCTCACCTGTATACCTATATACCTGAGATGTACGCTCACCTGTATACCTGAGATGTACGCTCACCTGTATACCTGAGATGTACGCTCACCTGTATACCTGAGATGTACGCTCACCAGTATACCTGAGATGTACGCTCACCAGTATACCTGAGATGTACGCTCACCAGTATACCTGAGATGTACGCTCACCTGTATACCTGAGATGTACGCTCACCTGTATATCTGTATACCTGAGATGTACGCTCACCTATATACCTGAGATGTACGCTCACCTATATACCTGAGATGTACGCTCACCTATATACCTGAGATGTACGCTCACCTATATATACCTGAGATGTACGCTCACCTGTATATCTGTATACCTGAGATGTACGCTCACCTGTATACCTGAGATGTACGCTCACCTGTATACCTGAGATGTACGCTCACCTGTATATCTGTATACCTGAGATGTACGCTCACCTGTATACCTGAGATGTACGCTCACCTGTATACCTGAGATGTACGCTCACCTGTATATCTGTATACCTGAGATGTACGCTCACCTGTATACCTGAGATGTACGCTCACCTGTATATCTGTATACCTGAGATGTACGCTCACCTGTATACCTGAGATGTACGCTCACCTGTATACCTGAGATGTACGCTCACCTGTATACCTGAGATGTACGCTCACCTGTATATCTGTATACCTGAGATGTACGCTCACCTATATACCTGAGATGTACGCTCACCAGTATACCTGAGATGTACGCTCACCTGTATACCTGAGATGTACGCTCACCTGTATACCTGAGATGTACGCTCACCTGTATACCTGAGATACACCTGTCCCACCCCCCTCACACCTCCATACACCCGTCCACTCACCATTACACCTGTACTGTAGATTGGACCAGATGATGTTCTCCTGGGAGAAGCAGAAGACCCCGAGCCGTCCTCCCCTCATCGTCGTGTCCAGAACCACCCCGGAATCCGCCACCAGATCTACTCCTTCATACAGCTTCACCCTGCAGGGACACGGAGGAGGAGGAGGAGGAGGAGGAGTGTGCAACGTACCCCCCATGTACACTACAGCCATGTATATATACTATTCATCACTCATCCATCCATCTCTGCATCCATCCATCACTCCATCCCTCTCATCCATCCATCATATCCATCCCTCCCTCCATCCCTCTCATCCATCCATCATATCCATCCATCACTCCATCCATCCCTCTCTCCCTCCATCCATCCATCCATCCCTCCCTCCCTCCCTCCCTCCCTCCATGACTCTCTCTCTCCCATCCATCCATCCCTCCCTCCCCCTGTTCCCAGCTGTTTGGGGCGAGGCGTCCATGCTATGATCTCATCCATCCCTCTCTCCATCCCTCTCCCTCTCTCTCTCCCCTCCCTCCCTCTCCATCCCTCTCCCTCCATCCCTCCCTCCCATCCCTCTCTCTCCATCCCTCTCCCTCCATCCCTCTCTCCATCCCTCCCTCCCTCCCTCCCTCCCTCTCTCTCCATCCCTCCCTCCCTCCATCCCTCCCTCTCTCTCCATCCCTCTCTCTCCCTCCCTCCATCCATCCTCTCCCTCCATCCATCCCTCTCTCCCTCCATCCCTCTCTCCATCCATCCATCCATCCCTCTCTCCCTCCATCCCTCTCTCCATCCATCCATCCCTCCCTCCCTCCCCGTTCCCAGCTGTTTGGGGCGAGGCATCCATGCTATGATCTCATCCATCCCTCCATCCCTGTCTCCATCCATCCATCCCTCTCTCCATCCATCCATCCCTCTGTCCCTCCATCCCTCTCCCTCCCTCCCCGTTCCCAGCTGTTTGGGGCGAGGCGTCCATGCTATGATCTCATCCATCCATCCATCCCTCCCTACCCCCCGTTCCCAGCTATGATCTCATCCCTGGTGGGGCTGGTTCTGGGTATTAAGCGGTGGTCCCAGCACGGGGTGACCCCCAGGAACACAGCGCGGTCCAGTTCCCAGAGTCGGCCATTGTTCTGCCCTTTTCCATATGAAAGAGGCGCTCTCTCTGGCTCCCAGCCTGGCATTCCTGGCGGCCATTGCGTTGCCGTGGCGATGCGACAAGGACTGGCGCTGATATCATCGCTTCAATACACAAGAAGAGGACGAGGGATTCTCTGAATGGTTGTGCTGACCTGCCCCTCCCCCTCTGCGGGGGGCATTAACTCCTCACTCCCTGAATTCGGAGACAACCTTCATCTGATTAGAGAGTCAGCTCTGCAGCCCAGGAGTCTCACATAGATGTTCCTTGTTGGTGAACCCCCCCTCCCCCCTCCACATGGGGGCGCTCTATGTCTGAACATGACGGGGGGCCCCTCCCTATTTCATGAAGAAAACGGAATAAGCTGACACCCCCCAAACATCCAACCAATGAAAACCTTCAGACACCGATCTGTCCTAGAGGGGCCCCCAGCTACCCAGAAGTGGGACCCCCCCCGACCCCCCCCCACCCCACAAGTCTCTCTATTGACCATCAAGGAGCTCACACTGCATTGTGGGAAGGTGGGGGAGGGAGTATCGGGTTCATGCTGAGCTCTGCACACTGCCTGTGGACTCAGGGGCTCCTTGGGGGAGGAGTCAGTCACTTCTATTACAGATCTGGTATAACGGCCAATCAGCAGACAGATCTCCGGGCATTGGCTTCAAATGGCAAAGCGACTCGCAGTTCACATTACTGCACCCTAACCGAGACCCTGCTACAGCGTTCCCAGTGACCCCAACATTCCAGTGACCCCAACACTCCTGACACCCCAGTGACCCCAACATTCCAGTGACCCCAGTGACCCCAACACTCCTGACACCCCAGTGACCCCAACACTCCTGACACCCCAGTGACCCCAATACTCTTGACACCCCAGTGACCCCAGCACTCCTGACACCCCAGTGACCCCAGCATTCCAGTGACCCCAGCACTCCTGACACCCCAGTGACCCCAGCATTCCAGTGACCCCAGCACTCCTGACACCCCAGTGACCCCAGCACTCCTGACACCCCAGTGACCCCAGCATTCCAGTGACCCCAGCACTCCTGACACCCCAGTGACCCCAGCACTCCTGACACCCCAGTGACCCCAGCATTCCAGTGACCCCAGCACTTCTGACACCCCAGCACTCCTGACACCCCAGTGACCCCAGCACTTCTGACACCCCAGCACTCCTGACACCCCAGTGACCCCAGCATTCCAGTGACCCCAGCACTCTTCCACCTCCATTGACTCCATGACCCAACCGCATCTCCTGACTTTCAATGACCCCACAGCATCCAGTGTCCCCAGTGACCCCACAGCATCCAGTGACCCCAGCACTCTTCTGACTCCATGACCCAAGAGAAACCCAATAACTTTCAATGACTCCACAGTGACCTCATTGTCCCACGTAATCCAAGTGACCCCAGCGCCTCTAGTCACCCCCTGTGCACTCCTGTGCCCCCAGTGCCCCCTGTGCCCCCAGTGCACCCAGTGTCTCCAGTGCCTCTAGTGACCCCCTTTGCACTGCTGTGTTCCCAGTGCCTCCAGTGACCCCAGTGTTTCCAGTGACCCCAGTGTTTCCAGTGACCCCAGTACCTCTAGTGACCCCCTGTGCCCTCCTGTGCCTCATGTGATCCAGTGCCTCTAGAGACCCCCTGTGCACTCCTGTGCCTCATGTGATCCAGTGCCTCTAGAGACCCCCTGTGCACTCATGTGGCCCCAGTGTTTCCAGTGACCCCAGTGCCTCTAGTGCCCCCCTTTGCACTCCTGTGCCCCCAGTGCCCCCCTGTGCACTCCTGTGTCCCTAGTGACCCCAGTGCCCCCCTTTGCACTCCTGCGCCCCCAGCACTCTTCTGCCTTCATTGACTCCATGACCCAAGAGCCCCCCATGACTTCCCATGGTTGAGCGCAGCCGATAGACAGATGTGTCACTCGTAATAACCCCTCCCCCCCATCTGCCCCCCCGTCAGCTCAGTACATACGTTACAATGTGATTGTACAATCGGGTTGAGTCTCTTTGCAGGTGAATTGTACAATCAGATTGTAAGGTGTGTGGTCAGGTTGATGAAGGTCTTCTTCTGTGCTGACCTGATGTAGCCCACCTGGGGGCGATGTGAGAGCTGCCAGCGGTATGACGTCTTGTCCTTCCAGCCCACGTTCCGTGGATCCTTCCACAGCAGGCGCACCTGATCGGCCGTGTGTCCCGTGTTCCACAAGGCGTTCCGCAGCTGCTCTCCGGGGCCCGTCTTCGACTTCACTGCCTGCAGAGGAGAGGGCGGGGGATGGGGGTGAAATATCGACAATTCTCCAAATACGGCCAACTTGGGAAATATCAACTAAGGGGAGATATTGGGGGAGGGGTTACAGGGAGATGGGGGGGACATTGGATGGGGGGGGGAGTTATATGGGTGAGGGGGGTTATTGACCAAGGGGGGGATTACTGGGCGAGAATGGATTATTGGGTCGGGGGGATTATTGGGTCGGGGGGATTATTGGGTGGAGGGGGTATTAGGTTGGGGGGATTATTGGGTTGGGGAATTATTGGGTTGGGGGGAATAATTGGGTTGGGGGGATTATTGGGTGGAGGGGGTATTAGTTGGGGGGGATTATTGGGTTGGGGGAATTATTGGGTTGGGGGGATTATTGGGTGGAGGGGGTATTAGGTTGGGGGGATTATTGGGTTGGGGGAATTATTGGGTTGGGGGGATTATTAGGTTGGGGGGATTATTGGGTTGGGGGAATTATTGGGTTGGGGGGATTATTGGGTTGGGGGGATTATTGGGTTGGGGGGATTATTGGGTGGAGGGGGTATTAGGTTGGGGTGATTATTAGGTTGGGGGGATTATTAGATTGGGGGATTATTGGGTTGGGGGGATTGTTGGGTTGGGGGGATTATTGGGTTGGTGGGATTGTTGGGTTGGGGGATTGTTGGGTTGGGGAGATTATTGGGTTGGTGGGATTGGGGGGGATTATGGGGTTGGGGGGATTATGGGGTTGAGGGAATTATGGGGTTGGGGGGATTATGGGGTTGGGGGGATTGTTGGGTTGGGGGATTGTGGGTTGGGGGGATTGTGGGGGGGGGGGGATTGTTGGGTTGTTGGGGGTATTGGGTTGGGGGGATTATTGGGATTATGGGGTTGAGGGAATTATGGGGCTGGGGGGATTGTTGGGTTGGGGGGTATTATTGGGTTGGGGGGGGTATTAGGTTGGGGGAATTATTAGGTTGGGGGAATTATTGGATTGGGGGGGATTATTGGATTGGGGGGATTATTGGGTTGGGGGGATTATTATGTTGGGGGGATTATTATGTTGGGGGGATTATTATGTTGGGGGGATTGTTGGGTTGGGGGGATTGTTGGGTTGGGGGGATTGTTGGGTTGGGGGGATTGTTGGGTTGGGGGGTATTGGGGGAGGCGGCAGACACAGTCACCAGACCCTCCAACAATCACGGCTCCAGGGTAGTCCTCTTGCTGACCTTCAGCTGCAGTCCCGGCTCTGCCACGGCACGGAAGGGCGTGGCCTGCCAGTAGGTTTGCTCGGTTTGCTTCCACATGACCACATAGAAGCTGGAGCTGTCCTGGTAGCTGAAGATGAATCCGGCGTAGTCGTAGTCGTCATCGGTGACGGTGTTCACATGGAAGGTTCCCTCAAAGTCTACACCATTAAACGCTGTGTACCCTGGATGGAGAGGAGAAACCGACCAATCAGGAGGAGAGGACATCGCCATCATAGAGAACCACACCCTTCCTATAGACGCTCGTAGTACCGCACCCCTCCTATAGACACTCGTAGTACAAAGCCCCTCCTATAGACACTCGTAGTACCGCACCCTTCCTATAGACGCTCGTAGTACCGCACAAAGCCCCTCCTATAGACACTCGTAGTACAACCGCCCCTCCTATAGACACTCGTAGTACCGCACCCTTCCTATAGACACTCGTAGTACCGCACCCCTCCTATAGACGCTCGTAGTACAACGCCCCTCCTATAGACACTCGTAGTACCGCACCCTTCCTATAGACGCTCGTAGTACCGCACCCTTCCTATAGACACTCGTAGTACTGCACCCCTCCTATAGACGCTCGTAGTACCGCACCCCTCCTATAGACACTCGTATTACCACACCCCCTATAGACATTCGTAGTACCGCACTCTTCCTATAGACACTCGTAGTACCACACCCCTCCTATAGACACTCGTAGTACCGCACCCTCCTATAGACATTCGTAGTACCGCACCCCTCCTATAGACGCTCGTAGTACCGCACCCGTCCTATAGACGCTCGTAGTACCGTACCCCTCCTATAGACGCTCGTAGTACCGCACCCTTTTGACTTGAGGGCCGCAATGGGTTCATATATTGGACCCGGGGGCCGGACCAAGAGTAGATGAATTATGTGTATGTGTCATCCATAGTAAGCATAGTAATTCATCCCCCATATAGTAATTCATCCCCCATAGTAATTCATCCCCCCATATAGTAATTCATCCCCCTATAGTAATTCATCCCCCATATAGTAATTCATCCCCCCCATATAGTAATTCATCCCCCATAGTAATTCATTCCCCCATATAGTAATTCATCCCCCCTATAGTAATTCATCCCCCATAGTAATTCATCCCCCATATAGTAATTCATCCCCCATATAGTAATTCATCCCCCATAGTAAGTCCCCCATAGTAATTCATCCCCCATATAGTAATTCATCCCCCATATAGTAATTCATCCCCCATAGTAAGTCCCCCATAGTAAGTCCCCCCTGTGTCAATTCACTTACCTTTGCTCCGCGCGTTCCTCTCGCCGTGTTCCCGCGCCGTTCCGGTGTAGCATGAAAATCTGTCTCCTATGAGGATCTGTCCCCCTCGACGTATCTGCGCATGTGCCAGTTTCAGGCATTAGCAGCCGATCGGCGATCTCCGGCACATGCGCAGATACGTCGAGGGGGACCGATCCTCATAGGAGACAGATTTTCATGCTACACCGGTCTTCAGGGCGGACTGTGAGAGGAGCCTAGCGGGAGCCTAGCTCGGCGGGCCGGATTAAAAGGTCCGCCGGGCCGTAGTTTGCCCATTGCTGCTCTAGACACTCTTAGTACAACGCCCCTCCTATAGACACTCGTAGTACCGCACCCTTCCTATAGACGCTCGTAGTACCGCACCCTTCCTATAGACGCTCGTAGTACCGCACCCTTCCTATAGACGCTCATAGTACCGCACCCTTCCTATAGACGCTCGTAGTACCGCACCCTTCCTATAGACGCTCGTAGTACCGCACCCTTCCTATAGACGCTCGTAGTACCGCGCCCGTCCTATAGACGCTCGTAGTACCGCGCCCTTCCTATAGATGCTCGTAGTACCGCGCCCTTCCTATAGACGCTCGTAGTACCGCACCCCTCCTATAGACGCTCGTAGTACCGCACCCCTCCTATAGACACTCGTAGTACCGCACCCTTCCTATAGACGCTCGTAGTACCGCGCCCTTCCTATAGATGCTCGTAGTACCGCGCCCTTCCTATAGACGCTCGTAGTACCGCACCCCTCCTATAGACGCTCGTAGTACCGCACCCCTCCTATAGACACTCGTAGTACCGCACCCTTCCTATAGACGCTCGTAGTACCGCACCCTTCCTATAGACGCTCGTAGTACCGCACCCCTTCCTATAGACGCTCGTAGTACCGCACCCTTCCTGTAGACGCTCGTAGTACAACACATCCCCCTGTAGACGCTCGTAGTACCGCGCCCCTCCTATAGACGCTCGTAGTACCGCACCCCCCTCCTATAGACGCTCGTAGTACCGCACCCCTCCTATAGACGCTCGTAGTACCGCACCCCTTCCTATAGACACTCGTAGTACCGCACCCCTCCTATAGACACTCGTAGTACAAAGCCCCTCCTATAGACACTCGTAGTAATTCACCCCCCCTATAGACGCTCGTAGTACCGCACCCCTCCTATAGACACTCGTAGTACAAAGCCCCTCCTATAGACACTCGTAGTACCGCACCCCTTCCTATAGACACTCGTAGTACCGCACCCCTCCTATAGACGCTCGTAGTACAACGCCCCTCCTATAGACACTCGTAGTACCGCACCCCCCTATAGACGCTCGTAGTACCGCACCCTTCCTATAGACACTCGTAACTGCACCCCTCCTATAGACGCTCGTAGTACCGCACCCCCTCCTATAGACGCTCGTAGTACCGCACCCCCTCCTATAGACACTCGTATTACCACACCCCTCCTATAGACATTCGTAGTACCGCACTCTTCCTATAGACACTCGTAGTACCACACCCCTCCTATAGACACTCGTAGTACCGCACCCTCCTATAGACATTCGTAGTACCGCACCCCTCCTATAGACGCTCGTAGTACCGCACCCCTCCTATAGACGCTCGTAGTACCGTACCCCTCCTATAGACGCTCGTAGTACCGCACCCTTTTGACTTGAGGGCCGCAATGGGTTCATATATTGGACCCCCGGACCAAGAGTAGATGAATTATGTGTATGTGTCATCCATAGTAAGCATAGTAATTCATCCCCCCATATAGTAATTCATCCCCCATAGTAATTCATCCCCCATATAGTAATTCATCCCCCATATAGTAATTCATCCCCCATATAGTAATTCATCATCCCCATATAGTAATTCATCCCCCATAGTAATTCATCCCCCATAGTAATTCATTCCCCCATATAGTAATTCATCCCCCATAGTAATTCATCCCCATATAGTAATTCATCCCCCATATAGTAATTCATCCCCCCATAGTAAGTCCCCCATAGTAATTCATCCCCCATATAGTAATTCATCCCCCATATAGTAATTCATCCCCCATAGTAAGTCCCCCATAGTAAGTCCCCCCTGTGTCAATTCACTTACCTTTGCTCCGCGCGTTCCTCTCGCCGTGTTTCCCGCCCGTTTCCGGTGTAGCATGAAAATCTGTCTCCTATGAGGATCTGTCCCCCTCGACGTATCTGCGCATGTGCCAGTTTCAGGCATTAGCAGCCGATCGGCGATCTCCGGCACATGCGCAGATACGTCGAGGGGGACCGATCCTCATAGGAGACAGATTTTCATGCTACACCGGTCTTCAGGGCGGACTGTGAGAGGAGCCTAGCGGGAGCCTAGCTCGGCGGGCCGGATTAAAAGGTCCGCCGGGCCGTAGTTTGCCCATTGCTGCTCTAGACACTCGTAGTACAACGCCCCTCCTATAGACACTCGTAGTACCGCACCCCTTCCTATAGACGCTCGTAGTACCGCACCCTTCCTATAGACGCTCGTAGTACCGCACCCCTCCTATAGACGCTCGTCGTAGTAGTACCGCCGCCCCTTCCTATAGTCCTATAGACGCTCGTAGTACCGCGCCCTTCCTATAGACCCTCCTATAGACGCTCGTAGTACCGCACCCCTCCTATAGACGCTCGTAGTACCGCACCCCTCCTATAGACGCTCGTAGTACCGCACCCTATAGACGCTCGTAGTACCGCACCCCTTCCTATAGACGCTCGTAGTACCGCACACCTTCCTATAGACGCTCGTAGTACCGCACCCTTCCTGTAGACGCTCGTAGTACCGCACCCTTCCTGTAGACACTCGTAGTACCGCACCCTCCTATAGTAGACGCTCGTAGTACCGCACCCCTCCTATAGACGCTCGTAGTACCGCACCCCTCCTATAGACGCTCGTAGTACCGCACCCCTCCTATAGACGCTCGTAGTAGTACCGCCCTATAGACACTCGCACCCTCCTATAGACCTCGTATAGACACTCGTAGTACCGCACCCCCCCTCCTATAGACACTCGTAGTACCGCACCCCTCCTATAGACACTCGTAGTACCGCACCCTCCTATAGACACTCGTAGTACCGCACCCCTCCTATAGACACTCCTAGTACCGCACCCCTCCTATAGACGCTCGTAGTACCGCACCCTTAGACCTATAGACGCTCGTAGTACGTAGACGCTCGTAGTACCGCACCCTCCTATAGACGCTCGTAGTACCGCACCCTCCTATAGACACTCGTAGTACCGCACCCTCCTATAGACACTCGTAGTACAACACCCCTCCTATAGACACTCGTAGTACCGCACCCTTCCTATAGACACTCGTAGTACCGCACCCTCCTATAGACGCTCGTAGTACCGCACCCCTCCTATAGACACCCTCCTAGTACCGCACCCTCCTATAGACACTCGTAGTACCGCACCCCTCCTATAGACACTCGTAGTATCCGCACCCCTCCTATAGACACTCGTAGTACCGCACCCCTCCTATAGACGCTCGTAGTACCGCACCCCTCCTCGCTCGTAGTACCGCACCCTTCCTATAGACGCTCGTAGTACCGCACCCGTCCTATATAGACGCTCGTAGTACCGCTCGTAGTACCCCCTTCCTATAGACGCTCGTAGTACCGCACCCCCTCCTATAGACGCTCGTAGTACCGCGCCCCTCCTATAGACGCTCGTAGTACCTCGTAGTACCGCACCCCCTCCTATAGACCTCGTAGTAGTACCGCACCCCTCCTATAGACACTCGTAGTACCGCACCCCTCCTATAGACGCTCGTAGTACCGCACCCCTCCTATAGTACCGCCGTATAGACCTCGTAGTACCGCACCCTCCTATAGACACTCGTAGTACCGCACCCTCCTATAGACGCTCGTAGTAGTACCGCACCCCGCACCCCTCCTATAGACGCTCGTAGTACCGCGCCCCTCCTATAGACGCTCGTAGTATCGCGCCCCTCCTATAGACACTCGTAGTACCGCGCCCCTCCCCTATAGACACTCGTAGACGCTCGTATAGTACCGCACCCCTCCTATAGACACTCGTAGTACCGCACCCCCCCTCCTATATAGACACTCGTAGTACCGCACCCCCCTCCTATAGACCGCACCCCTCCTAGTAGTACCGCACCCTCCTATAGACACTCGTAGTACCGCACCCTCCTATAGACACTCGTAGTAGTACCGCACCCCTCCTAGACACACTCGTAGTACCGCACCCCTCCTATAGACGCTCGTAGTACCGCACCCGTCCTATAGACGCTCGTAGTACCGCACCCTCCCTATAGACACTCGTAGTACCGCACCCCCCCTATAGACACTCGTAGTACCGTAGTACCGCACCCCCCTCCTATAGACGCTCGTAGTACCGCACCCCTATCCTCGTATAGACACTCGTAGTACCGCACCCGTCCTATAGACGCTCGTAGTACCGCACCCTTCCTATAGACACTCGTAGTACAACGCCCCTCCTATAGACGCTCGTAGTACCGCACCCCTCCTATAGACACTCGTAGTACCGCACCCTCCTATAGACATCGTAGTACAACGCACCCCTCCTATAGACACTCGTAGTACAGTACGCACCCTTCCTATAGACACTCGTAGTACCGCACCCGTCCTATAGACGCTCGTAGTACCGCACACCCTTCCTATAGACCAGCGGTTCTCAACCTGGGGGTCGAACGACCATTTCCCAGGGGTCGCCTAAGACCATCGGAAAACACATATTTCCGATGGTCTTAGGAACCGAGACACCACTCCTCTGACTCAGTTGATGTGTGGGCGGGATGACACGCTGCCCTGTCACCTGGCCACACCTCCGGGATCCCTCAACAACTCCGCCTCCTCGCCGCTGATTGGCCACCGGAACTGTAGCTCAGGAGAGGCACACAGGCGGCCAATCACCGGCGAGGAGGTGGAGCTTGGAGAGGAGGAGCCGAGCGGCAGCGCGCATAGATCTAAGAAGATCGAGGGAACTGCCGGAGTAAGTGAAGAGGAGAGCGGCCAGAGAAGGAAGACAGCTGACAGGTAAGTGAGAGAGCGAGCCCAGGCTGGAGCAGGGGTCAGCAAGGTAAGTATCATTGGTGTCAGTGGGAGGAATAGTGCCCCATCATTTGTGTGACTAATACCAACAATGGGGCACTCCTTCTCCCACTGACACCAATGATGGGGCACTACTATTTCCCCCCCCCCCCCCACTGACACCAACGATGGGGCACTATTCCTCCCCCCCACTGACACCAACGATGGGGCACTATTCCTCCCCCCACTGACACCAAGATGGGGCACTATTCCTCCCCCCCCCCATCGACACCAACGATGGGGCACTATTCCCCCCCCTGACCCCAAAGATGGGGCACTATTTCCCCCTCACCAATGACCACACTGACATCAATGATGGGGCACTATTCCTCCCACTGACACCAATGATGGGGCACTATTCCCCCCACTGACACCAATGATGGGGCACGATTCCCCCCACTGACACCAATGATGGGGCACTATTCCCCCCACTGACACCAATGATGGGGCACTATTCCCCCCACTGACACCAATGATGGGGCACTATTCCCCCACACTGACACCAATGATGGGGCACTATTCCCCCCACTGACACCAATGATGGGGCACTATTCCCCCCACTGACACCAATGATGGGGCACTATTCCCCCACTGACACCAATGATGGGGCACTATTCCCCCCACTGACACCAATGATGGGGCCCCCCACTGACACCAATGATGGGGCACTATTCCCCCCCACTGACACCAATGATGGGGCACTATTCCCCCCACTGACACCAATGATGGGGCACTATTCCCCCCACTGACACCAATGATGGGGCACTATTCCCCCCACTGACACCAATGATGGGGCACTATTCCCCCCACTGACACCAATGATGGGGCACTATTCCCCCCACTGACACCAATGATGGGGCACTATTCCCCCCACTGACACCAATGATGGGGCACTATTCCCCCCACTGACACCAATGATGGGGCACTATTCCCCCACTGACACCAATGATGGGGCACTATTCCTCCCACTGACACCAATGATGGGGCACTATTCCCCCACTGACACCAATGATGGGGCGCTATTCCTCCCACTGACACCAATGATGGGGCACTATTCCCCCCACTGACACCAATGAAGGGGCACTAAATTCCCCCCCACTGACACCAATGTATGGGGCGGCATTATTCCCCCCACTGACACCAATGATGGGGCACTATTCCTCCCACTGACACCCGTCCTATGGGGCACTCGTATACCCCCACTGACACCAATGATGGGGCGCTATTCCTCCCACTGACACCAATGATGGGGCACTATTCCTCCCACTCCAAAATTACAGTTAGTACCGAAGTAGCAACGAAAATACCGCATTTTATGGTTGGGGGTCACCACAACATGAGGAACTGTATAAGGGGGGTCCCGGCATTAGAAAGGTTGTACCGAACCACTGCTATAGACGCTCGTAGTACCGCACCCCACTCCTATAGACGCTCGTAGTACCGCACCCCTCCTATAGACGCTCGTAGTACATAGACGCTCGTAGTACCTCCTATAGACACTCGTAGTACAACGCCCCCTCCTATAGACACTCGTAGTACCGCACCCTTCCTATAGACACTCGTAGTACAACGCCCCTCCTATAGACACTCGTAGTACAACGCCCCTCCTATAGACACTCGTAGTACCGCGCCCCTCCTATAGACGCTCGTAGTACCGCACCCTTCCTATAGACACTCGTAGTACCGCACCCCTCCTATAGACACTCGTAGTACCGCACCCTCCTATAGACACTCGTATTACCGCACCCTCCTACAGACCTCGTAGTACCGCACCCTCCTACAGACGCTCGTAGTACCGCACCCTTCCTATAGACACTCGTAGTACCGCACCCTTCCTATAGACACTCGTAGTACAACACCCCTCCTATAGACACTCGTAGTACCGCACCCCTCCTATAGACACTCGTAGTACAACGCCCCTCCTATAGACACTCATAGTATCGCACCCCTCCTATAGACACTAGTAGTACAACGCCCCTCGTCAGTACCGCACCCTTCCTATAGACACTCGTAGTACCGCACCCTTCCTATAGACACTCGTAGTACAACGCCCCTCCTATAGACGTATAGTACCGCACCCCTCCTATAGACACTCGTAGTACAACGCCCCTCCTATAGACACTCGTAGTACCGCACCCCTCCTATAGACACTCGTAGTACAACGCCCCTTCCTATAGACATTCGTAGTACCGCACCCCTCCTATAGACACTCGTAGTACAACGCCCCTCCTATAGACGCTCATAGTACAACGCACCCTCCTATAGACACTCGTAGTACAACGCCCCTCCTATAGACACTCGTAGTACAACGCCCCTCCTATAGACACTCGTAGTACAACGCCCCTCCTATAGACATCGTAGTACCGCACCCTCCTATAGACACTCGTAGTACAACGCCCCTCCTATAGACGCTCGTAGTACAACGCCCCTCCTATAGACGTTCATAGTACAACGCACCCCTCCTATAGACACTCGTAGTACAACGCCCCTCCTATAGACATTCGTAGTACCGCACCCCTCCTATAGACACTCGTAGTACAACGCCCCTCCTATAGACATCGTAGTACCGCACCCCTCCTATAGACACTCGTAGTACAACGCCCCTCCTATAGACATTTGTAGTATCGCACCCTTCCTATTGACATTCGTAGTGCTGAAGCCATGGGATGGGTATGATAGTCAGGGCACTTGGGATTTGTTTATCGGAGGATCAGTACAGATTTTTGTTTACAGCAAACAATTCCATTCCATATCAATAAACATCATAAAGTGGGCGGATTTCTAAACCTTGATTTTGGATGGAATGGGGTGGGGGTAGGTGTCCCTGGTGGTAAGTGAAGTGGGGGGAAATCTTCAGCCATATTGTTCCCAGTTTCTGCTCAGTGACTGCACTTTACCGTTCCCCTTAGTCTATACGGTTCATCCTACAACTGATCTCAGCAGGCGTTCAGCAGGGTGCAGACTGTACTATCTGACATACACCAAGTGTAACGGATGAGAAGTCCCATCTGATCTGATAACAGAGACTTCTGCATACAGAGAAGCGGGAAGACGATACGCACCAACCGCCAGTCCGGGGTCGCTGTTCATTGTCTGTACGATCTCCATTCCCTGCCAAGAGAGAACTACCATCAGTACCATCAATACCATGACCAACCTCACCATACAGTCATGACAGTCACAGCCAAAGACCCCACTCAACAGGTGAACCCCCCCCCCCCCCTGCTCCCGCACAACCAATCAGAATTCACCTTCCAGTGCCTTGAATGTTGCTATGGGTTACCGCAGTGATTCTACTGTCACACGGGAAGGGTGGGGGGTAAGGGGAAATCTGATTTAAGGTTTGTCTTCAGCAGAAACTGTGCAATCTCACACCTACCAATCAGATTTCAGCATGTATTGGATCGTGGTGTCTGCAGAATACAAGACCTGATCTGATTGGTGGATCAGCCAATCTATAACTGAGGTGACCTCAGCACCCTCTCCTGACACAATGAACACCCCCACATCACCTGGTTCAGCACCACCCAGTTGGGGTCTATCTGTGCGTCCCCCTCTGGATCCAGGATGACCGTCTGATACGCTCTGAAGTCGGTGAGCGTCACCTCTGCGCTCTCAGGACAGACGTCATAGTTGTCGGCCACAGAGTCATTATCGAAGTCTACTTCACACACGTCACCGATGCCGTCACCTGAGAAAAGATTACATGATGTCACCGAGTGTCACCATGGGGCCAGCACAAGGGACACCCAGGGCCAAAAGGTGTCATTCTGGGGATACTCCAATGGAAAAAGTTTGGGGACGGCCAGCTTTAATGGCATTATTCTTGGGAGCCCCAACTCTGATGGCACCATCCTGGGGACAACCGGGTCTAATGGTGCCATTCTGTGGATGCCCCAGTTTAATGGTGACATCTGGGGGAAGCCCGGGTCTAATGGCATCATCCTGGGGAAGTCCAGGTCTAATGGCATCATCCTGGGGAAGTCCAGGTCTAATGGCATCATCCTGGGGAAGTCCAGGTCTAATGGCATCATCCTGGGGACACTCGGGTCTAATGGTGCCATCTGGGAAGCCAGTTTAATGGCATGAATCCAGGTCTAATGGCATCATCCTGGGGAATCCAGGTCTAATGGCATCATCTGGGGAAGTCCAGGTCTAATGGCATCATCCTGGGGAAGTCCAGGTCTAATGGCATCATCCTGGGGACACTCCAGGTCTAATGGCATCATCCTGGGGAAGTCCAGGTCTAATGGCATCATCCTGGGGACACCCGGGTCTAATGGTACAATTCTCAGGAAGTCCTGGTCTAATAGATATGGAGAGGTGAGGCTGAGGATGCAGATATGGAGAGGTGAGGCTGAGGATGCAGATATGGAGAGGTGAGGCTGAGGATGCAGATATTGAGAGGTGAGGCTGAGGATGCAGATATGGAGAGAGGTGAGGCTGAGGATGCAGATATGGAGAGGTGAGGCTGAGGCTGCAGATATGAGAGAAGAAGCTGAGGATGCAGATATGGAGAGGTGAGGCTGAGGCTGCAGATATTGAGAGAAGCGGAGGATGCAGATATGGAGAGGTGAGGCTGAGGATGCAGATATGGAGAGGTGAGGTTGAGGCTGCAGATATGGAGAGAAGAAGCCGAGGATGCAGATATGGAGAGGTGAGGCTGAGGCTGCAGATATGGAGAGTAGAAGCTGAGGATGCAGATATGGAGAGGTGAGGCTGAGGCTGCAGATACAGAGCAGAGAGCCAGGTCTTCCAGCATGCTGGTAAATGTTTCACTCCCCATCCTTGACACAGTGGCCATCATTCCCATCCCTTCACATAGGAACCCTCATCCCCATCCTTCACATAGGAACCCTCCTCCCCATCCTTCACAGTGACCCTCATCCCCATCCTTCACACAGTGGCCCTCATTCCCATCCTTCACACAGTGGCCCTCATTCCCATCCTTCACACAGTGGCCCTCATTCCCATCCTTTACACAGTGGCCCTCATTCCCATCCTTCACTTAGTGACCCTCATTCCCATCCTTCACACAGTGGCCCTCATCCCATCCTTTCACATTAGGAACCCTCATCCCCATCCTTCACATAGGAACCCTCATCCCCATCCTTCACATAGGAACCCTCATCCCCATCCTTCACACAGTGACCCTCATCCCCATCCTTCATGAACCCGTCTACGTGGGGAAGCTTCTCTGCCATACCATCGGTGTGTCCTTCTGGTTGGGGTTGTGGATGAGGCGGCAGTTGTCGGGCCCCGGTGGGATGTAGTCGGGGACCCCATCGTTGTCATCATCCTGGTCACACTCGTCGCCCAAACCGTCATTGTCGGAGTCCAGCTGGGAGCTGTTGGGGATCTCTGGACAGTTGTCCTTGGTGTCCTGGTGACCATCACCATCCCTGAGGAAGGACAATCATTAGAACCAGGGTGTCCATAGTGCTAGCCTTCTGATTGGATGCTGGGGACCCAAATCATGGCACAGCCAGGGACCTTCAATTCACACCCCATCCCCCACTTCATCACCAATACTGGCTGCAGGTCAAGGTGGACCTGGCATCTTCTCACCAAGTGACCGGAGGTCAAGTTACAATGTATAGTCATTAGCCAGTCAGAGGAGAGGAGAACATTACTGGCCAATGAGAGAGGAGAACATTACTGGCCAATGAGAGGTGAGGAGAACATTACTGGCCAATGAGAGAAGAACATTACTGGCCAATAGAGGAGAGAAGAACATTACTGGCCAATGAGAGGTGAGGAGAACATTACTGGCCAATGAGAGGTGAGGAGAACATTACTGGCCAATGAGAGTTGAGGAGAACATTACTTACCCAATCAGAGGACAGAGAACATTATTACCCAATCAGAGGACAGAAGAACATTATTACCCAATGAGAGAAGGAGAACGTTATTACCCAATGAGAGAAGAGAACGTTATTACCCAATGAGAGAGAGAGAACGTTATTACCCAATCAGAGGGAGGGATAGGGGAGGGTCTTACTTGTCCTGGTTGGTGTCACACATATCGCCCACCAGGTCGCTGTCGGCATCTGTCTGGAGGAAGGACAGGAGATGTAAGGGAAGGGGCGGGGACTGATGGGTTACATTGCTCTGTACCTGCCAATCATCTCACCTGGAGCTCCAGGGGTCACATGACCACACATTGAGGACCCGGGCGTGGCGGTGAGCTGCTCTTACCTGCGTTGGGTTGCTGGTCTCCGGGCAGCTGTCACAGGCGTCTCCCACCCCGTCCAGGTCCCGGTCTGTCTGGAGGGGATTTGGCACTTTGGGGCAATTATCCAGCATGTTGGGGATCCCTGCAAATACAAAGGGGGGTATTTACCCTGGAAATCTGCCCCCCCACCAGCCTTTACCTCCACCCACAAATATGGCCGCTCACCGTCACCATCGATGTCATTGTCACAGGCGTCTCCTTCACCGTTGGCGTCGGTGTCCTTCTGATCGTTGTTGGGAACATTAGGACAGTTGTCACACGCGTCACCATAGGAGTCCGTGTCCGAATTCTGCTGGTCCTTATTGGGGACCAGTCTGCAGTTGTCCTGTGTGAGGAGACGGTACGTGAGAACCTAGGGGGCCCTGGACACGTGACTGGCACCGGACACATGGAGGGCACCGGATGGCGGGCCCTGGACACGTGGCTGGCACCAGACACATGGAGGACACCGGACACATGGAGGACACCGGACACATGGAGAACACATGGAGGACACACATGGAGGACACTGGATACATGGAGGACACATGGAAGACACTGGATACATGGAGGACACATGGAGGACACTGGATAGATGGAGGACACGTGACTGGCACCGGACACATGGAGGGCACCGGATGGCGGGCCCTGGACACGTGACTGGCACCGGACACATGGAGGGCACCGGATGGCGGGCCCTGGACACGTGACTGGCACAGGATACATGGAAGGCACCGGATGGCGGGCCCTGGACACGTGACTGGCACCGGACACATGGAGGGCACCGGATGGCGGGCCCTGGACACGTGACTGGCACCGGATACATGGAGGGAAACCGGACACATGGAGGGCACCGGACACATGGAGGACCTGGACACGTGACTGGCACCGGATACATGGAGGGAACCGGATACATGGAGGACACCGGACACATGGAGGGCACTGGATACATGGAAGGCCCTGGACACGTGACTGGCACCGGATACATGGAGGACACCGGATACATGGAGGGCACCGGACACATGGAGGGCACCGGACACATGGAAGGCCCTGGACACGTGACTGGCACCAAATACATGGAGGGCACCGGATACATGGAGGACACCGGATACATGGAGGGCACCGGACACATGGAGGGCACCGGACACATGGAGGACACCGGATACATGGAGGGCAACGGATACGTAACTGGCACCGGAAACATGGCTAGCACCAGATACATGGTGGGCCCTAGACACGTGGCTGGCACCGGATACATGGAGAGCGCCAGATACATGGAGGGCACCGGATACATGGCTGGCACCGGACACATGGAGGGCACCGGATACATGGAGGGCACCGGATACATGGAGGGCACCGGACACATGGAGGGCACCGGATACACATGGAGGGCACGGATACATGGAGGGCACCGGATACATGGAGGGCACCGGACACATGGAGGGCACCGGATACATGGAGGGCACCGGACACATGGAGGGCACCGGATACATGGAGGGCACCGGATACATGGAGGGCACCGGACACATGGAGGGCACCGGATACATGGAGGCACCAGGTCTGTACCAGAGACACATGGAGGGCACCGGATACATGGCTGGCACCTGACCTCATGGAGCCTCCACCGGTCCTCATACATGGAGGGCCTCATACTGCCTTCACCAGGTCTGTACCCCAGAGACGACATCTGCCCAGCACCAGAGATATGTACTGAGACATCTGACCTCCCTGCCTCCATACAGGTCCTCATCTATACATCATTGCCTCAACTGCCACGTCCCATGCATCCATCCCCAGGTGTACTGAGCTCCGCCCACCCATCCCCAGGTGTACTGATCTCCGCCCACCCATCCCCAGGTGTACTGAGCTCCGCCCACCCATCCCCAGGTGTACTGAGCTCCGCCCACCCATCCCCAGGTGTACTGAGCTCCGCCCACCCATCCCCAGGTGTACTGAGCTCCGCCCACCCATCCCCAGGTGTACTGAGCTCCGCCCCTCTGTCTAGTACTCAGCACTCTACTATGCAGGCCAAACAACTCTTCCGTGTACGAGAGTCATATGGAGGAAGATTCCTCCTGATTGGTCGAGATCTGTCCCAATACAACCATCCACTGACAGATCCCGATTCCCCTCAATAACAATGACCTCAACATTCTTAATTCCGTCTCCGTCGGCGTCCTCATCACACTGATCTCCGATCCCATCGTTGTCCGCGTCCTCCTGCCCGGAGTTGGGGGTCAGTCGGCAGTTGTCCTGCAAAGCAGAAGAGATCACAATGAAAATACCGACAAAGAAAGACGATCACAATACGTTCCACTAGTGATAGGAGATGTTAGGGGGGTTATATATGACAGGTTCTCTTTGCTGGAATGACTTTTCAGAAGGATGGATACATTGGTAGACCTCCTTCTCCTTGGAACATCTTGATCAGCATGTCCTCCATGTCCTCCAACGAGAGTCTGGGTCAAGCTGATGAGATGTTCCTAAACAACAGAAACGAATGTCTCTTGTAATCACGTGTCTGCAAGTTCTCCAGTGAATGACTCGATGTGTAAAATGTTCTGGAGGTCCTACGTGGCAACTGTCCAGGACCGGAGCTTAGAAGACTCCCATTTCGGTTCGGGAGACCCTGGGTCCTCGTTTCATATTCCCGAGGATCTGTGAATCGGATCCCAAGTTGTCTGCTTTCCAATCTTCACTTTACTTTGTAGCTTTTCTCTTTGAAGGCCTTTCACCGTGAGCCGAGGTTGTTGGGTTTCTTACCAATTGGTGGGGGATTGTGGGATGTCCAGAACCTCAACTGTTCCCTGACCTGCAAGCCACTGGACCTGGAGGACTGGGACTGACACTCAGCGGCCGCAGGTAGGACTTTACCTACCAGCCTCTCCTCTCCTGATCTGTGGGGCTGGGAGTGGGAAGCTATGCTGACACCGCGGTCCCTCCCCCAATGAATGTTCCTCTTCATTCTCTCCAACCTCGTTGTTTAACCTAGACGGTGAGAGTGAGATCAGGTCAGTCCTCACCCCAAGCGGTTGTCTTGGACAAGCAATATCTGGAGAAATAGTCTCCACGCTCTACAACGAGGGTCCAAGTCATAAGATGTTCCAGAAATGATTGTCTCTTGTAATTCTGAAGTGAATGCATAAAAAAATGTAAAAAGTTTGGGAGGTCCTACGTGGCAATAGTCCAGGATTGGAGCTTCAGAGCTTCCCGTTTTGGTCAGGAGACCAGGTCCTCGATCCTTGTGGGAAGATCTCCGTATGGATCCTTGTGGGAGGATCTCCGCATGGATCCTTGTGGGAGGATCTCCGCATGGATCCTTGTGGGAGGATCTCCGTATGGAACCTTGTGGGAGGATCTCCGCATGGATCCTTGTGGGAGGATCTCCGTATGGAACCTTGTGGGAGGATCTCCGCATGGATCCTTGTGGGAGGATCTCCGCATGGATCCTTGTGGGAGGATCTCCGTATGGAACCTTGTGGGAGGATCTCCGTATGGAACCTTGTGGGAGGATCTCCGTATGGAACCTTGTGGGAGGATTTCCGCATGGAACCTTGTGGGAGGATCTCCGTATGGAACCTTGTGGGAGGATCTCCGTATGGAACCTTGTGGGAGGATCTCCGCATGGAACCTTGTGGGAGGATCTCCGCATGCTCCTTCTCCATTTTCTTATGTTTACTTTTACTTTGTAACTTTTCTAAATAAAAACGTTTGAACCCTTTCCCCAGTGTGTGGAGGTCCTTCCTTATCAATGTGAATGGTGGACTTCTGCCTATTGGCCTCTGTGAAGGCTACTGGACCTGGCTGAGAGCTACAAGTAGGCCCATATCCAGCATCATATGACATGATATTCCCCTTGCCGTGTCCTCTACGTCCCTTCACCCCACGGGGGCGATATCCAGCATCAGAGGACATGATATTCCCCTTGCCGTGTCCTCTACGCCCCTTCATCCCACGGGGGCGATATCCAGCATCAGAGGACATGATATTCCCCTTGCCGTGTTCTCTACGCCCCTTCATCCCACGGGGGCGATATCCAGCATCATATGAGATGATATATCCCCTTGCCGTGTCCTCTACGCCCCTTCATCCCACGGGGGCGATATCCAGCATCATATGAGAGGATATTCCCCTTGCCGTGTCCTCTACGCCCCTTCATCCCACGGGGGCGATATCCAGCATCATATGAGATGATATTCCCCATGCCGTGTCCCTACGCCCCTTCATCCCACGGGGGCGATATCCAGCATCATATGAGATGATATTCCCCTTGCCGTGTCCTCTACGCCCCTTCATCCCACGGGGGCGATATCCAGCATCATATGAGATGATATTCCCCTTGCCGTGTCCTCTACGCCCCTTCATCCCACGGGGGCGATATCCAGCATCATATGAGATGATATTCCCCTTGCTGTGTCCTCTACACCCCTTCACCCCACGGGGGCGATATCCAGCGTCAGAGAAGATGATATTCCCCTTGCCGTGGCCTCTACGCCCCTTCACCCCACGGGGGCGATATCCAGCGTCAGAGAAGATGATATTCCCCTTGCCGTGGCCTCTACGTCCCTTCACCCCACGGGGGCGATATCCAGCATCAGAGGACATGATATTCCCCATGCCGTGTCCTCTACGCCCCTTCACCCCACGGGGGCGATATCCAGCATCATATGAGATGATATTCCCCTTGCCGTGTCCTCTACGCCCCTTCACCCCACGGGGGCGATATCCATGGTCATAGGAGATGATATTCCCCTTGCCGTGTCCTCTACGCCCCTTCATCCCACGGGGGCGATATCCAGCATCAGAGGACATGATATTCCCCATGTCGTGTCCTCTACGCCCCTTCATCCCACGGGGGCGATATCCAGCATCATATGAGATGATATTCCCCTTGCCGTGTCCTCTACGCCCCTTCACCCCACGGGGGCGATATCCAGCATCATATGAGATGATATTCCCCTTGCCGTGTCCTCTACGCCCCTTCACCCCACGGGGGTGATATCCAGCATCATATGAGATGATATTCCCCTTGCCGTGTCCTCTACACCCCTTCACCCCACGGGGGTGATATCCATGGTCCTATGACACACGGTAATACGATACAGATGGAGCTGATCCTATAGACCTAGAAGCTCTGTCCCCGGTTGTGAAGGTGTCACTCATCTCACCTGTTTGCAGTGTTTGTGGTTGTCTATACACGGCATCGGCTCATCCGGGTAACCGTCTATGTCGGTGTCTCGGCCACATGTGTACCCGTTGCCGGCCCAGCCAACGTTGCACTGTGAGGGTGAAGGAACACGATATTAGTGACACGGATGGGGAGCAGACCTACCGAATCAGAACTTTCCGGATGTCCATCATGACCATCGGTGGTGAGAATACGAGGACAACTTACCAGAAGTCAGGGACTTACCGCACAAGTCACGTCACCGTTCCTCTCAAACACGCAGTGTGCGTTCACGTGGCAGGGGTTGAAGGCTGGGCTGACGCAGGACTTTTTCGGCACGCAGCCCAGTGATTGGTTTCCCACAAAGCCCGGCTTACAGGGGCCACACTTATAGGAGCCCTAAAGGGACAAGAGAAGGACGGAGGTGAGAAGAGTGGAGAGGTGAGGAGGAAATCATTGGGGTGGGGTAGGTGCTCAGGTAGGTGCTCACCACAGTGTTGGTGCAGATGGAGTTGGCGGCACATCCTCCATTATTCCCATCATTACATTCGTCAATATCGGTGCAAACCTGGAGAGGAGACGGAAGATTGGTGACACCTCTGAAGACACGCCTCCTGCGTGGAACTGGAAGAACAACATGCCGGCCTCCTCCCTGGTCTTACCTGCTTGCTAGCCTTGGCGTAGTCGATGCCCACCCCTGACACCGAGTTCCCCTTGTACCCACGTGGACAGGCCTCGCAGCGGAATCCGGGAGACGTGTTAATGCATTTAGAGCCCGAGAAACAAGGATTGGTGTGAGCACACTGCAGGAGGAACACAGCGTGTCACGTGGGGAGGTGTCACATGGTGGGTAGCAACACATTGGGGGAGAAGTGTCACGTGGGGAGGTGTCACGTGGGGAGGTGTCACATGGTGGGTAGCAACACATTGGGGGAGAAGTGTCACATGGGGAGGTGTCACATGGGAAGGTATATGCCACATGGTGGGTAGCATCACACTGGGGGAGAAGTGTCACATGGGGAGGGAGGTGTCACATGGGGAGGTCTATGTCACATGGGGAAGTCTATGTCACATGGGGAAGTCTATGTCACATGGGGAGGGAGGTGTCACATGGGGAGGGAGGTGTATGCCACTTGGGGAGCATGTCACATGGGGGGAGAAGGTGTCACATGGGGAGGGAGGTGTCACATGGGGAGGTCTATGTCACATGGGGAGGTGTCACATGGGGAGGTCTATGTCACATTGGGAAGTCTATGTCACATGGGGAGGTCTAAGGGGAGGTCTATGTCACATGGGAAGGTCTATGTCACATGGGGAGGTCTATGTCACATGGGGAGGTCTATGTCACATGGGGAGGTGTCACATGGGGAGGTCACATGGGGATAGGTGTCACATGGGGAGGTCTATGTCACATGGGAGGGAGGTGTCACATGGGGAGGTCTATGTCACAGGGGGAGGTGTCACATGGGAAGGGGAGGTCACATAAGTCACATGGGGGAAGGTCTATGTCACATGGGGAGGTCTATGTCACATGGGGAGGTGTCACATGGGGAGGTGTCACATGGGGAGGTCTATGTCACATGGGGGGAGGTCTATGTCACATGGGGAGGTCTATGTCACATGGGGAGGTGTCACATGGGGAGGTCTATGTCATGTCACATGGGGAGGTCTAGTGTCACATGGGGAGGGAGGTGTCTATGTCACATGGGGAGGGAGGTGTCACATGGGGAGGGAGGTGTCACATGGGGAGGGAGGAGTCACATGGGGAGGGAGGAGTCACATGGGGAGGTCTATGTCACATGGGGAGGGAGGTGTCACATGGGGAGGGAGGTGTCACATGGGGAGGGAGGAGTCACATGGGGAGGTCTCAGGGGGAGGTGTCACATGGGGAGGGAGGTGTCACATGGGGAGGTCACATGGGGAGTGTCACATGGGGAGGTCTATGTCACATGGGGAGGTCTATGTCACATGGGGAGGGGGGAGGTGTCACATGGGGAGGGAGGTGTCACATGGGGAGGGAGGTGTCACATGGGAGGGAGGTGTCACATGGGGAGGGAGGTGTCACATGGGGAGGTCTATGTCACATGGGGAGGGAGGTGTCACATGGGGGGGAGGTGTCACATGGGGAGGTCTATGTCACATGGGGAGGTCTATGTCACATGGGGAGGTCTATGTCACATGGGGAGGTGTCACATGGGGAGGTCTATGTCACATGGGGAGGTGTCACATGGGGAGGTCTATGTCACATGGGGAGGTGTCACATGGGGAGGTCTATGTCACATGGGGAGGTCTATGTCCCACGTGGTGGTAGTGTCACAGGGAGTCTCGGAGATCCCACAATAGTCCACGTATGGATACCTCATCTATATCGGCACAGTGGCTGCCATTGCCATGTGACCCCGGCGGACACGGCCCACAGCGGTACCCGGGGTACTCGTAGGTCTCCATACAGTCCACACCCCTGGAAACACGGGTTGGGGTTGCAGCGTGACCGATGTTCATGGAAGCCTGCGTGTAATACAGAAACATCAGCAATGCCCACTGAATGCTGCCGCACTGCACTGGGTGGGTAGGTGACGGCGGGTACTTACCGCACACTTGGCACTCCATGATGGTGTTCCGGATCAGAGACATCTCCTTCACCTGTCACCAAAGACAGAAGAGAGACATCATGGCGGAGTCATCACCAACCTCTATAGGATACTTCTAGATGATTCCGAGCTGGGGGTGGAGTCTCTGGGCATGGTGCACCCATTGGTCCCCAGGTAAGGTGCACCCATTGGTCCCCAAGTAAGGTGCACCCATTGGTCCCCAGGTACAGTGCAACCCTTGGTCCCAGTGCACAGTTCTTCCACTGGTCTCCAGGCATGGTGCACCCACAGGTCCCCGGTCACAGCACACCCATTGGTCCCAGTCACAGCACACCCATTGGTCTCCAGTCACAGCACACCCATTGGTCCCCAGTCACGGCGCACCCATTGGTCCCCAGTCACGGCGCACACCATTGGTCCCCAGTCACGGCGCACTCACAGGTCCCCAGTCACGGCGCACCCATTGGTCCTCAGTCACGGCGCACACCCATTGGTCCCCAGTCACGGCGCACCCATTGGTCCCCAGTCACGGCGCACCCATTGGTCCCCAGTCACGGCGCACCCATTGGTCCCCAGTCACGGCGCACCCATTGGTCCCCAGTCACGGCGCACCCATTGGTCCCCAGTCACGGCGCACCCATTGGTCCCCAGTCACGGCGCACCCATTGGTCCCCAGTCACGGCGCACTCACAGGTCCCCAGTCACGGTGCACCCATTGGTCTCCAGTCACGGCGCACCCATTGGTCCCCAGCAGGGGCGGACTGACAACTCATGGGGCCCCCGGGCAATAGGGGATCATGGGGCCCCTGTGTCCTTGCCCAAACTCAAAAAAGCCTATGAAAAAGGTACCAGGGGCATCTCATGGGGCCCCCTACTGACCCCCATGGGGCCCTCAGGCAGTGCCCGAGTTTCAAAATGGTCAGTCCACCCATTGGTCCTCAGTCACGGCGCACCCATTGGTCCCCGGTCACGGCGCACCCATTGGTCCTCAGTCACGGCGCACCCATTGGTCCCCGGTCACGGCGCACCCATTGGTCCTCACTCACGGCGCACCCATTGGTCCCCGGTCACGGCGCACCCATTGGTCCCCGGTCACGGCGCACCCATTGGTCCTCACTCACGGCGCACCCATTGGTCCCCAGTCACGGCGCACCCATTGGTCCTCAGTCACGGCGCACCCATTGGTCCTCACTCACCTGGTCTCGGATGTCCTCCCGCAGCTCTGCCAGCACTTTGTTGAACAGAGTCATCTGTGTGATCAGAGCCTTTGTGTGCTCCCCTGAGAGACAGAAACAGAGTCAGGAGATCTGATGGCAGACAAATGGATCTCCATGACAACAAATGTTCAGACTGGATCCCCAGATCCCTCACACCCTCCCCCATACACCTGACCATGTCTGCCCCCTGCTGGACACCCTCCCCCATACACCCTGACCATGTCTGCCCCCTGCTGCCCCCTGCTGACACACCTCCCCATACACCCGACCATGTCTGCCCCCTGCCCACCTCCCCCATACCTCTGCCCCCTGCTGGACCATGTCTGCCCCCTGCTGGACACACCTCCCCCATACACCTCCCCCCCTGCTGGACACACATACTCCCCATACACCCGGCCATGTCTGCCCCCTGCACACACCTCCCCCATACACCCGACCATGTCTGCCCCCTGCTGGACACACCTCCCCCATACACCTGACCCATGTCTGTCTGCCCCCTGCTGGACACACCTCCCCCATACACCTGACCATGTCTGCCCCCTGCTGGACACACCTCCCCCATACACCTGACCATGTCTGCCCCCTGCTGGACACACCTCCCCCATACACCCGACCATGTCTGCCCCCTGCTGGACACACCCTCCCCCATACACCCGACCATGTCTGCCCCCTGCTGGACACACCTCCCCCATACACCCCTGACCATGTCTGCCCCCTGCTGGACACACCTCCCCCATACACCCGACCATGTCTGCCCCCTGCTGGACACACCTCCCCCATACACCCGACCATGTCTGCCCCCTGCTGGACACACCTCCCCCATACACCCGACCATGTCTGCCCCCTGCTGGACACACCTCCCCCATACCCCCATACCCCCTGCTGGACCATGTCTGCCCCCCCCTGCTGGACACACCTCCCCCATACACCCGACCATGTCTGCCCCCTGCTGGACACACCTCCCCCATACACCCGACCATGTCTGCCCCCTGCTGGACACACACCTCCCCCATACACCCGACCATGTCTGCCCCCTGCTGGACACACCTCCCCCATACACCCGACCATGTCTGCCCCCTGCTGGACACACCTCCCCCATGTCTGCCCCCTGCTGGACACACCTCCCCCCATACACCTGTCTGCCCCCTGCTGGACCCCATACACCCGACCATGTCTGCCCCCTGCTGGACACACCTCCCCCATACACCCGACCATGTCTGCCCCCTGCTGGACACACCTCCCCCATACACCCGACCATGTCTGCCCCCTGCTGGACACACCTCCCCCATACACCCGACCATGTCTGCCCCCTGCTGGACACACCTCCCCCATACACCTCCCCCATACACCTGACCATGTGTCTGCCCCCTGCTGGACACACCTCCCCCATACACCCCCATACACCTGACCATGTCTGCCCCCTGCTGGACACACCTCCCCCATACACCCTGACCATGTCTGCCCCCTGCTGGACACACCTCCCCCATACACCTGACCATGTCTGCCCCCTGCTGGACACACCTCCCCCCATACACCTGACCATGTCTGCCCCCTGCTGGACACACCCTCCCCCATACACCCGACCATGTCTGCCCCCTGCTGGACACACCTCCCCTGCCCCCACCTCACCTCCCCCATACACCCCCTGTCTGCCCCCTGCTGGACACACCCCCTACCCCCATCCCCATGTCTGCCCCCTGCTGGACACACCTCCCCCATACACCTGACCTTGTCTGCCCCCTGCTGGACACACCTCCCCCATACACCTGACCATGTCTGCCCCCTGCTGGACACACCTCCCCCCATACACCTGACCATGTCTGCCCCCTGCTGGACACACCTCCCCCCATACACCTGGCTCCCTGTACATGAGACAGACTCACCGAGGATTGAATTGACGACTCCATTCACTGTCGGGAGAGAAATCACAGACACGTCAGAGGGATCATCTCAGGTGACATTGAACCTTACAGATGTAATGTATCCCCAATATAAAGATCACCCTGCACATGGTGCCCCAGCTGTTTTCTGTCCCATGAGGGGCCCACACCCAGCCAAGGGCCCTTGGGGTGAACCCCTCCCCCCGTCACCACCCTCTGCAGCTCTAGACCAGCGACTCCCGACCTGCAGAAGAGAAACGGTATAGATCCACGGATCCTCCTCCATTGTCCCTTCTCTTACCAGGTTCACATCACGTCACCCACCTCTCTGTGTCCTTACCTGTGTTCTGGATGGACTCGTCATCCTGGAAGGGGCATTCACTCAGAGCCCCCACTCTGCCCATAGACCCCCCGAGAACCATCTTCATCGACTCCACAGACCCCTAGACAGCGAGAAGAACCAAATCATTGTACTGACCTTCCATGGGCTCCAGGACCCTCATGGGCTGGGCTCCAGGCTATGGGGGTGGGTACAGACATAGCACACCTCCCACTGACTCCCAATGAGGTGGGTGGGGCACAGACTAATGATGGTCAGGTATTCCCCCTTACCTGCAGCCTCTGGTAGGCCTTGTGTCCTGAGCGGATCTCCCCGGACTCCACCTCGAATTGTGGGATCACCATCATCTCCGGGAGGCCAAGGCTGCTGTCCACCTGCTTACAGTCCACATAGAGCTCCAGGGTGAGCGTGTCCCCGCGCAGGCCACTGATCCGCAGGATCACCGTGTGGGTGTTCCCGTCCGACAGGTTGGCGTTCTGTAGGCTGACCGAGTGGACCTTGGAGTCTTCCCTCATATAGCGGACCAGGACTGGAAGACACAGAACAAGTTATGGCACCACCAATGGTGGGAAATGGAGTGCTAGCTCTTCTGATCAGCCCTCCCTCTCATGAAGAACTAGGCTGTCCTTGCCTCCTTCCTTGTTCTAGATTGCTAGCTCCTCAGGCCAGACCCCTTGCCCTACTATGACCAGTAGATGGCTAGCTCCTCAGGCCAGACCCCTTGTCCTACTATGGCCAGTAGATTGCTAGCTCCTCAGGCCAGACCCCTTGTCCTACTATGACCAGTAGATGGCTAGCTCCTCAGGCCAGACCCCTTGTCCTACTATGGCCAGTAGATTGCTAGCTCCTCAGGCCAGACCCCCCTTGTCCTACTATGACCAGTAGATTGCTAGCTCCTCAGACCAGGCCCCTTGTCCTACTATGGCCAGTAGATGGCTAGCTCCTCAGGCCAGGCCCCTTGTCCTACTATGACCAGTAGATGGCTAGCTCCTCAGACCAGGCCCCTTGTCCTACTATGGCCAGTAGATGGCTAGCTCCTCAGACCAGGCCCCTTGTCTTACTATGACCAGTAGATTGCTAGCTCCTCAGACCAGGCCCCTTGTCCTACTATGACCAGTAGATGGCTAGCTCCTCAGACCAGACCCCTTGTCCTACTATGACCAGTAGATTGCTAGTTCCTCAGACCAGGCCCCTTGTCCTACTATGGCCAGTAGATGGCTAGCTCCTCAGGCCAGGCCCCTTGTCCTACTATGACCAGTAGATTGCTAGCTCCTCAGGCCAGACCCCTTGTCCTACTATGACCAGTAGATAGCTAGCTCCTCAGGCCAGGCCCCTTGTCCTACTATGGCCAGTAGATTGCTAGCTCCTCAGACCAGACCCCTTGTCCTACTATGACCAGTAGATGGCTAGCTCCTCAGACCAGACCCCTTGTCCTACTATGACCAGTAGATGGCTAGCTCCTCAGACAAGACCCCTTGTCCTACTATGACCAGTAGATGGCTAGCTCCTCAGGCCAGACCCCTTGTCCTACTATGGCCAGTAGATTGCTAGCTCCTCAGGCCAGACCCCTTGTCCTACTATGACCAGTAGATGGCTAGCTCCTCAGGCCAGACCCCTCCTTGTCCTACTATGACCAGTAGATTGATAGCTCTTCAGACCAGGCCCCTTGTCCTACTATGACCAGTAGATGGCTAGCTCCTCAGACCAGCCCCTTGTCCTACTATGACCAGTAGATGGCTAGCTCCTCAGGCCAGACCCCTTGTCCTACTATGGCCAGTAGATGGCTAGCTCCTCAGACCAGACCCCTTGTCCTACTATGGCCAGTAGATTGCTAGTTCCTCAGGCCAGGCCCCTTGTCCTACTATGACCAGTAGATGGCTAGCTCCTCAGACCAGACCCCTTGTCCTACTATGACCAGTAGATGGCTAGCTCCTCAGGCAGACCCCTTGTCCTACTATGGCCAGTAGATTGCTAGTTCCTCAGACCAGGCCCCTTGTCCTACTATGGCCAGTAGATGGCTAGCTCCTCAGGCCAGGCCCCTTGTCCTACTATGGCCAGTAGATGGCTAGCTCCTCAGGCCAGGCCCCTTGTCTTACTATGACCAGTAGATTGCTAGTTCCTCAGACCAGGTCCCTTGTCCTACTATGACCAGTAGATTGCTAGCTCCTCAGACCAGGCCCCTTGTCCTACTATGGCCAGTAGATGGCTAGCTCCTCAGACCAGACCCTTTGTCCTACTATGACCAGTAGATGGCTAGCTCCTCAGGCCAGACCCCTTGTCCTACTATGGCCAGTAGATTGCTAGTTCCTCAGACCAGGTCCCTTGTCCTACTATGGCCAGTAGATTGCTAGCTAGTTCCTCAGACCAGGCCCCTTGTCCTACTATGGCCAGTAGATTGCTAGTTCCTCAGACCAGACCCCTTGTCCTACTATGACCAGTAGATTGCTAGTTCCTCAGAGCAGGCCCCTTGTCCTACTATGACCAGTAGATTGCTAGCTCCTCAGGCCAGGCCCCTTGTCCTACTATGGCCAGTAGATTGCTAGTTCCTCAGACCAGGTCCCTTGTCCTACTATGACCAGTAGATTGCTAGTTCCTCAGGCCAGGTCCCCTTGTCCTACTATGGCCAGTAGATTGCTAGCTCCTCAGGCCAGGCCCCTTGTCCTACTATGACCAGTAGATAGCTAGCTCCTCAGGCCAGACCCCTTGTCCTACTATGACCAATAGATTGCTAGCTCCTCAGGCCAGGCCCCTTGTCCTACTATGACCAGTAGATTGCTAGCTCCTCAGGCCAGACCCCTTGTCCTACTATGGCCAGTAGATTGCTAGCTCCTCAGACCAGGCCCCCTTGTCTTACTATGACCAGTAGATTGCTAGCTCCTCAGACCAGGCCCTTGTCCTACTATGACCAGTAGATGGCTAGCTCCTCAGACAAGACCCCTTGTCCTACTATGACCAGTAGATTGCTAGCTCCTCAGACCAGGCCCCTTGTCTTACTATGACCAGTAGATTGCTAGCTCCTCAGACCAGGCCCCTTGTCCTACTATGACCAGTAGATGGCTAGCTCCTCAGACCAGGCCCCTTGTCCTACTATGACCAGTAGATTGCTAGCTCCTCAGACCAGGCCCCTTGTCCTACTATGACCAGTAGATTGCTAGCTCCTCAGACCAGGCCCCTTGTCCTACTATGACCAGTAGATGGCTAGCTCCTCAGACCAGGCCCCTTTGTCTTACTATGACCAGTAGATTGCTAGCTCCTCAGACCAGGCCCCTTGTCCACACCCTCCTACTATGACCAGTAGATGGCTAGCTCCTCAGACCAGGCCCCTTGTCCTACTATGACCAGTAGATTGCTAGCTCCTCAGACCACACCCTCCTTGTCCTACTATGACCAGTAGATTGCTAGTTCCTCAGGCCACACCCTCCTTGTCCTATGACCAGTAGATTGCTAGTTCCTCAGGCCACACCCTCCTTGTCCTATGACCAGTAGATTGCTAGCTCCTCAGGCCACACCCTCCTTGTCCTATGACCAGTAGATGGCTAGCTCCTGGGCCCAGTATGGGCTCACCTTTGTTGACCTTGCCCACGATGGAAGCCTCCAGCCACTTGGTGTTGTCCTTCTTGGAGTAGAAGCCGAACAGGACTCCTCCTGCCTTGGCGGGGAGCCGGAACGTGGACAGGAAGTACAGATCATTGACTGTCAGCATTTCCGATCGGATCTTCTCCATCGCGCTGGCCATGTGACGCGATTCGCTGACCGTCAGGAGGTCAATCACTGCGAGGGGGAGGGATGGGGGAGGGGCATCAGCAAGATACAAAACACACTTCAAACTTCCAACATGGGGGCTGCCTGAGCTGACTCCTCCCACTACGCCAGTCACATGACAAACTAACATGGCTCTGCTTACATGGGAAATCTTCACACGTGGCTCTGTTTATGTGGGATATGTTCACACGTGGCTCTGTTTACATGGGATATGTTCACACGTGGCTCTGTTTACACGGGATATGTTCACACGTGGCTCTGTTTACACGGGATATGTTCACACGTGGCTCTGTTTACACGGGATATGTTCACACGTGGCTCTGTTTACATGGGATATGTTCACACACGGCTCTGTTTATGTGGGAAATGTTCACACACGGCTCTGTTTACATGGGATATGTTCACACAGGGCTCTAATTATGTGGGAAATGTTCACACGTGGCTCTGTTTATAAGGGAGGGGAGGATTGGAGGTTGTAAACAGAGGCCCATCTACAGCGTGCTGTGCACTGCGTCCTCCAGCAGAGGGAGCTCTGAGCCTCATAAACCCACTGCACCGGGAGGAACCCACGACCCACCGCACCGGGAGGAACCCACGACCCACCGCACCGGGAGGAACCCACGACCCACCGCACCGGGAGGAACCCACGACCCACCGCACCGGGAGGAACCCACGACCCACCGCACCGGGAGGAACCCACGACCCACCGCACCGGGAGGAACCCACGACCCACCGCACCGGGAGGAACCGACGACCCACCGCACCGGGAAAAAAACCCACGACCCACAGCACCGGGAGGAACCCACGACCCACCGCACCGGGAGGAACCCACGACCCACCGCGAGGAACCCACGACCCACCGCACCGGGAGGAACCCACGACCCACCGCACCGGGAGGAACCCACGACCCACCGCACCGGGAGGAACCCACGACCCACAGCACCGGGAGGAACCCACGACCCACAGCACCGGGAGGAACCCAGGACCCACCGCACCAGGAGGAACCCAGGACCCACCGCACCAGGAGGAACCTAGGACCCCCCGTACCGGGAGGAACCCAGGACCCCCCGTACCGGGAGGAACCCAGGACCCCCCCGTACCAGGAGGAACCCAGAACCATCACGGACCCACCACCAGAACGGTCATACTGAACCATGTTACAGGCAGCAGAACGTTCTCCACGGCTTCTCCAGACCCTTTCACGTCTGTCACATGTGCTCAGGGGGAACCTGCTCTCATCTGTGAGAAGCACAGGGTGCCAGTGGTGGACCTGCCAATTCTGGGGTTCAATGGCCAATGCCAATCCAGCTCTATGGTGCCAGGCAATGAGCACAGGGCCCACTAGAGGACGTGGGCCCTCAGGCCACCATCATGAAGTCTGTTTCTGATTGTTTGGTCAGAGACATTCCCACCAGTGGCCTGCTGGAGGTCATTTTGTAGGGCTCTGGCAGGGCTCATCCTGTTCCTCCTCCACAAAGGAGCAGATACCGGTCCTGCTGATGGGTTGAGGACCTTCTACGGCCCTGTCCAGCCCTCCTAGAGGAACTGCCTGTCTCCCGGAATCTCCTCCGCGCTCTCGTCTCCCGGAATCTCCTCCGCGCTCTCGTCTCCCGGAATCTCCTCCGCGCTCTCGTCTCCCGGAATCTCCTCCGTGCTCTCGTCTCCCGGAATCTCCTCCGCGCTCTCGTCTCCCGGAATCTCCTCCGCGCTCTCGTCTCCCGGAATCTCCTCCGTGCTCTCGTCTCCCGGAATCTCCTCCGTGCTCTCGTCTCCCGGAATCTGCTCCGTGTTCGTCTCCCGGAATCTCCTCCGTGCTCTCGTCTCCCGGAATCTCCTCCGTGCTCTCGTCTCCCGGAATCTCCTCCGTGCTCTCGTCTCCCGGAATCTCCTCCGTGCTCTCGTCTCCCGGAATCTCCTCCGTGCTCTCGTCTCCCCGGAATCTCCTCCGTGCTCTCGTCTCCCGGAATCTCCTCCGTGCTCTCGTCTCCCGGAATCTCCTCCGTGCTCTCGTCTCCCGGAATCTCCTCCATGCTCTCGTCTCCTGGAATCTCCTCCGTGCTCTCGTCTCCTGGAATCTCCTCCGTGTTCGTCTCCTGGAATCTCCTCCGTGCTCTCGTCTCCTGGAATCTCCTCCGTGTTCGTCTCCTGGAATCTCCTCCGTGTTCGTCTCCTGGAATCTCCTCTCCGTGCTCTCGTCTCCTGGAATCTCCTCCGTGCTCTTGTCTCCTGGAATCTTCTCCATGCTCTTGTCTCCTGGAATCTCCTCCGTGCTCTCGTCTCCTGGAATCTCCTCCGTGCTCTCGTCTCCTGGAATCTCCTCCGTGCTCTCGTCTCCTGGAATCTCCTCCGTGCTCTCGTCTCCTGGAATCTCCTCCGTGCTCTCGTCTCCTGGAATCTCCTCCGTGCTCTCGTCTCCTGGAATCTCCTCCGTGCTCTCGTCTCCTGGAATCTCCTCCGTGCTCTCGTCTCCTGGAATCTCCTCCGTGCTCTCCTCTCCTGGAATCTCCTCCGTGCTCTCCTCTCCCGGAATCTCCTCCATGTTCTCGTCTCCCGGAATCTCCTCCATGCTCTCGTCTCCCGGAATCTCCTCCGTGCTCTCGTCTCCCCCCGGAACCTCCTCCGTGCTCTCGTCTCCCGGAACCTCCTCCGTGCTCTCGTCTCCTGGAATCTCCTCCGTGCTCTCGTCTCCTGGAATATCCTCCGTGCTCTCCTCTCCTGGAATCTCCTCCGTGCTCTCCTCTCCCGGAATCTCCTCCGTGCTCTCCTCTCCTGGAATCTCCTCCATGCTCTCCTCTCCTGGAATCTCCTCCATGCTCTCCCTCTCCCCGGAATCTCCTCCATGCTCTCGTCTCCCGGAATCTCCTCCGTGCTCTCTCGTCTCCCGGAATCTCCTCCGTGCTCTCGTCTCCTGGAATCTCCTCCGTGCTCTCGTCTCCCCACCGTCTCCTCCATGCTCTCGTCTCCTGGAATCTCCTCCATGCTCTTGTCTCCCGGAATCTCCTCCATGCTCTCGTCTCCCGGAATCTCCTCCGTGCTCTCGTCTCCCCCCGGAACCTCCTCCGTGCTCTCGTCTCCTGGAATCTCCTCCGTGCTCTCGTCTCCTGGAATCTCCTCCGTGCTCTCGTCTCCTGGAATATCCTCCGTGCTCTCCTCTCCTGGAATCTCCTCCGTGCTCTCCTCTCCCGGAATCTCCTCCCGTGCTCTCCTCTCCTGGAATCTCCTCCATGCTCTCCTCTCCTGGAATCTCCTCCATGCTCTCCTCTCCCGGAATCTCCTCCATGCTCTCGTCTCCCGGAATCTCCTCCGTGCTCTCGTCTCCCGGAATCTCCTCCGTGCTCTCGTCTCCTGGAATCTCCTCCGTGCTCTCGTCTCCTGGAATCTCCTCCATGCTCTCGTCTCCTGGAATCTCCTCCATGCTCTCGTCTCCTGGAATCTCTTCCGTGCTCTTGTCTCCCTGAATCTCCTCCGTGCTCTCGTGTCCTGGAACCTCCTCCGCCTCTCTCGTCTCCTGGAATCTCCTCCGTCCTCTCGTCTCCTGGAATCTCCTCCGTCCTCCTCTCGTCTCCTGGAATCTCCTCCATGCTCTCGTCTCCTGGAATCTCCTCCGTGCTCTTTGAGACTGTGCTGGGAGACACAGCCACACCTTCTGGCAATGGCAGGTATTGATGGACCATCCTGGAGGAGTTGGACTGCATGTGTGACCTCTGTAGGGTCCAGGTATGGCCTCATGGTACCAGTAGTGACACTGACCCGAGCCAAATGCAGAACCAGTGAGAGAGTCAGGGAAGATGAGGAGGGGGAAATGTCTGACCTCCACCTGTAACCATTCCTGTTTTTGGGGGTTGTCTCATTGCTGCCCATCTATTGCCCCTGTTTCATGACCACCAAAGAAGCTGAAACTGATGAACATCCTCCTCTGCTACTTACCTGACCAGATCCATATCCCAGGAGGTTCATCAACTTCATGCAACTCTCGGATTACAACGTCTGCCTGTCTTGGTCAGAGCCGTGTGTGTTGTGTTATATATATAGAAAAAATGTTCCTCCCCCCATAATATACACTGACTACTCCCCCCCCCTCCCCTCCCCTCCTCTCTCTCCCCCCCCTCTCCCTCCCCTCCTCTCTCTCCCCTCTCCTCCTCTCCCCCCCTCTCATCTCTCTCCTCCTCTCCCCCCCTTTCTCCTCTCTCTCTCTCCCCCTCCTTTCTCCCCCCCCTCCTCTCCTCTCTCCGAACCCCCTCCTTTCCTCTCTCCCCCTCCCTTTCTCTCCCCCCCCCTCCTCTCCTCTCTCTCCCCCCCCTTTTCTCCCCCCCCCCCCTCTCCCTCCTCTCTCTCCCCCTCCTTTCCCCCCCCCCCCTCCTCTCCTCCTCTCCTCCCCCCCTCCCCCTCCCCCCCCCCTCCTCTCCTCCCTCTCCCCCCTCCTTTCTTTTCTCCCCCCCCCTCCCCCCTCTCCTCTCTCTCCCCCCCCTTTCTCCCCCCCCCCCTCCTCTCCTCCCTCTCTCCCCCCCCTCCCTCCCAAGCCCCCTCCTCCCCCTCTCCTCCCCCCCCCCTTTCTTCCCCCCCCCCCTCCTCTCCCTCTCCCTCCTCCCTCCTTTCCCCCCCCCCCCCCCCCCTCTCCTCCCCCCCCCCCCTCCTTTTCCCCCCCCCCCCCCCCTCCTCTCCTCCCCCCCTCCTTTCCCCCCCCCCCCCTCCCTCCTCCCGCTCTCCCCCCCCTTTCTTCTCCCCCCCCCCCCCCCCCTCCTCTCCCTCTCCTCCCCCCCCTTTCCTTCCCCCCCCCCCCTCCCTCCTCTCCCCCTCCTCCCCCTCCTTTCCTCTCCCCCCCCCCCTCCTCCCCCTCTCTCTCCCCCCCTTTCCCCTCCCCCCCCCCCTCCTCTCTCCCCTCCCCCTCCCTCCCCCCCCCCCCCCTCTCCTCTCCTCCCCCCCCCCCTCGTTTCTCTCCTCCCTCCCCTCCTCTCCTCTCCCCCCCCTCCTTTCCCCCCCCCCCCTCCTCTCCTCCTCCCTCCCCCCTCCCCCTCCCCCCCCCCCCTCCTCTCCCTCTCCCCCCCCCCCTTTCTCCCTCCCCCCCCTCCTCTCCTCTCTCTCCCCCTCCTTTCCCCCCCCCCCCCTCCCCTCCTCCCCCTCCCCCTCCTTTCTCCCCCCCCCCCCCCTCTCCTCTCCCCCCCCCCCTCTCCCCCCCCCCCTGTCCTCCCCCTCCTCTCCTCTCTCCCCCTCCTTTCCCCCCCCCCCCCTCCCTCTCCTCTCTCCCCCCCTCCCCCCCCCCCTTCCTCCCCACTCCCTCCCCCCCCCCTCCCTCTCCTCTCCCCCTCCTCCCTCCTCCCCCTCTCCCTCCCCCCCCCTCCTATTCCCCTCCTCCCCCCTCAATCCCCCCCCCCCCCCCTCCCCTCCCTCCCCCCCTTTCCCCCCCCCCCCCCCCTCCTCCTCTCTCCCCCTCCTTTCTCCCCCCCCCTCTCCCCCCCCTCTCCTCTCCCTCTCTCCCCCCCCCTTTCTTCTCCCCCCCCCCCTCCTCCCTCTCCTCTCCCCCTCCCTTTCCCCCCCCCCCCCTCCTCTCCTCTCTCTCCCCCCCCCTTCTTCCCCCCCCCCCCCTCCCTCCTCTCCCCCCCCCCTCCCCCTCCTCCTCCCCCCTCTCTCTTCTCTCTCCCCCCCCTCCTCCTCCCCCCCTTCCCCCTCCCCCTTCCTCTCCTCTCTCTCCCCCCCCCCCCCCTCTCCTCCTCTCCCCCCCCCCCCCTCCTCCTCCCCCCCCCCCTCCCCTCCTCTCCTCCCCCCCCCCCCCCTCCCCTGTCTCTCTCCCCCCCCTCCCTTCTCCCCCCCCCCCCCCCCCCCCCCCTTTCCTCCCTCCCCCCCCTCTCCTCTCCCCCCCCCCCTCCTCTCCTCTCTCCCCCCCCCTCCTTTCTCCCCCCCCCCCCCCTCCTCTCTCTCTCCCCCCCCCCTCCTCTCCTCTCTCCTCCCCCCCCTCCTCCCCCCCCCCCCCCCTCTCTCTCCCTCCCCCCCTTTCTTCCCCCCCCCCCTCCCCTCCTCTCTCTCCCCCCCCCTTTCTCCCCCCCCCCCTCTCCTCTCTCCCCTCCCCCTCCTTTCCCCCCCCCCTCCTCCCTCTCTCAAAACCCCCCTTTTCCCCCCCCCCTCCTCTCCTCTCTCTCCCCCTTTCCTTTCCCCCCCCCCCCTCCTCTCCCCTCCCCCCTCCCCCCTCCTTTCTCCCCCCCCCCCCCTCTCCCTCTCTCCCCCCCCCTTTCTTCCCCCCCCCCCCCCCCTCTCCTCTCTCCCCCCCCCCCTTTCCCCCCCCCCCCCCTCCTCCTCTCTCCTCCCCCCTCCTTCCCCCCCCCCCCCTCCTCCCTCTCTCTCCCCTCCCTCCTTTCCCCCCTCCTTCCCCCCTCCCCCCCCTCTCCTCCCCCTCCCTTCCCCCCCCCCCCCTCCCCGCTCCTCCCCCTCCTTTCTCCCCCCCCCCCCCTCCCCTCTCCCCCTCCCCTCCCCCCCCCCCCCCCCCCCCCCCCCCTCCCCCCCCCCCTCTTTCTCTCCCCCCCCCTCCCCTCTCCCCTCCCCCCTCTTCCTCCCCCCCCTCTCCTCCTCTCCCCCCCCCCCCTCCTCTCCTCTCTCCCCCCCCTCTCCTCTCTCTCCCCCTCCAGTCTCTCCCCTCTCCCCCCCTCCCCCTCCTCTCTCTCCCCCCCTTTCTCCCCCCCTCCCCCCCCCCCCCCCCCCTCCCCCCCCTCCCCCCTCCCCTCCCCCTCTCTCCTCTCTCTCCCCCCCCTCCCCCCCCCTTTCTCTCATTTCTCTCTCTCTCTTTCCCTCTCTTTCCCCCCCCCCCCTCTTTCTCTCTCTTCCTCCTGTTCTGAGGACATAGCACCCTCACCCACCCCGGGACCCCTCTCCCCCCCCCCCCCCCCGGGTCCTCTCCCCCCCAGGGTTCCTCTCCCTCCCCAGGTCCCTAACCAGCCCAGGGCCCCTTTCCCCCCCCAGCCCCCTCACCACCCCTGGCCCCTTCCCCTCCCCCCCCGGAATTCCTCTCCCTCCCCAGCTCCCTCACCACCCAGGGCCCCTCTTCCCCCCCCCACCCCCTAGGTCCCTCTCCCCCCCCTCTCCACCACGGGGTCCCCCCTCTCCCCCTCATCACCACGGCCCCTCTCCCCCCCCCCCCCCCCCCCACCCTGGGGTCCCTCTCCACCACGGGGTCCCTCTCCCCCCTCACCACCCTGGGCCCCTCTCCCCCCCTCCTCCACCCTGGGGTCCTTCCCCCCCGCCCCCTCATCACCCCGGGGCCCCTCTACCCCCCCCCCCCTCCACCCCCGGGGTCCCTTAAGCCCCCAGCCCACTCACCACCCCGGGGCTCCTCTCCTTCCAGCCCCCTCACCACCCTGGGGCCCCTTTTCCCTCCCTCTCCACCCCGGGGCCCCTCTCCCCCCCAGCCCCCTCACCACCCCGGGCCCCCTCTCCTTCCCCAGGTCCCCCAAAACCCCGTCCCTCTACCACACTGTGCCCTGGTCCTCCAGGTTCCCGGGGCCCTCTCCCTCCCCCCCCAGGGGCCCTTACCTTGCAGCTCCTGCCTGGCAGAGGTGAGGGAGCAGAAGTGGAGCAGCAGCAGCAGGCTGAGGACCTTCCTGTCCATGGCGGAGTCCTGGCCGGGAGTGAGGTGTCAGGGACTGGCAGGCATCCCCCCCAGTCTGGATGAATGACACCCGATGGCTCCACCCCCCTCCCCCCCTCCACATTCACCACCACAACGCCAGCCTTAACCCCCTCCCTGCTGGAGGACCCCCAGGGGCGGGGCTAAGATCACCACTCCCGGGGTCCAGGGGGCCCCAATACAGCCCCCCACACACGGGGTCACCCACAGGTCAGCCTGTCTGACTGAGAGGAAGGAACACAGCGGGATCTCCATCCATTCACCCCCCCATCACATCCATTCACCCCCCCATCATCCATTCATCACCATCCCCCCATCATCCATTCACCGCCCCCCATTCACCCCACATCATCCATTCATCACCCCCCCCATCCATCACCCCCCCATCCATTCATCACCCCCAATCATCCATTCACCGCCCATCCATTCACCCCCCATCACCATCCATCCCATCATCACCCCCCCCCATCCATCACCCCCCATCATCCATTCACATTCATTCCATTCACCCCCCATCATCCATTCATCACCCCCCCCATCCATTCACCCCCTCATCATCCATTCACTGCCCATCCATCAACATTCACCCCCCATCATCCATTCACCCCCCCCCATCATCCATTCACCCCATCCATTCACCCCCCATCATCCATTCATTCCCCCCCATCCATTCACCCCCTCATCATCCATTCACTGCCCATCCATTCAACCCCCATCATCCATTCACTGCCCATCCCATTCACCCCCCATCATCCAATTCATCACCCCCCCCCCATCCATTCAACCCCCATCATCCATTCACCACCCATCCATTCACCCCCCCCCATTCCCATTCCACCCATCATCCCCATCATCCATTCACCATTCCCATCCATTCATCATCCCATCATCCATTCACCCCCACCCATCCCCCATCAACCCATTCACCACCTTTGATCCATTATCATCTATTCACCCCCCCATCCATTCACCCACCCCCCCTCATCCATTCATCACTAATTCACACCCCCCCCATTCACCACCCCATATCCATTCATCATCCATTCACTGCTCCCCCATCCATTCATTATCCCCATCCCCCATCCATCCACCACCCCCCCATCCATTCATCATCCATTCATTACACCCCCATCCATTCATCATCCATTCACCACCCCCCACCCATTCAATCATCCCCATCCCCCGATTCATTCATCCCACCCATCCATTGACCACTCCCCACCCATTCATCATCCCATCATCCATTCACCCCCCCCCCCCCCCCATTCACACCCCCCCACCAATCCATTCACCACTCCCCATTCATTCATCATCATCCATCATCCATTCACCCCCCCCCCCCAACCATCCATTCACCACCCCCGATCCATTCATCACCACATTCACCCCCCCCCATCCATTCACCACCCCCCCCCACCCATTCACTGTCCCCCCCCCCCATCCATTCACCATCCCATCATCCATTCACCATTGCGTTACGCCCCCACCCATCCATTATCCCATCATCCATTCACCATCTCCCAGCCATCCACCCCAGCATCCATTCACCATCCATTCACCATCCCCCTGCACATTTTCCATCCCCTCCCCCACCCCGGAAGTGCCGCTCCTCTGCAATGTTTTCTGGGGGGGGGAAATCACACCTGGAATCTCCTGTCTGGTGACGTCATGTGATAACCCCTCCCCCCAGACAGAGGGGCCTCGTTGTGTACAGCGCTGCTCAGACTGTTGGCGCCACACAGACCCGGAAGCGTCGTCATGGTGATACAAATAATAACACCGAAGGCGTGACTCCTCCCCCTACAATAATACAATCAGCAATGGGAGGAGTTTCTTGTGGGGGAGGCGTGGCCAGTCGCTGGAAGAGGAGGAGTCTGGCTACCCGAAGTAGGGGGCGGGTTTTACATACCTGTAGCTGTAGCAATGGGCGGGCGCAGGCTCAGAGGGGAGGGGTCGATACACTTCTAGCGGGCGGGGGTCAGGGGGCGGAGCCCGGGGGAAGACGTTCCGGGTGGAGGGAGGAGCAAGATGGCGGCGCCCATGGAGCTGTACTGCTGGAGGGGTGACTGGGGCTTCCCACTGTGGACACCGAGTGTCTGACCGTCCTGGTGAGAGGGGGAGGGTGACCCCCCCATAGATCTGCCCCTGGAGGGGAACCTTCTGTCTGGGGGGTCTTATCTCTCCTCATGTTCCCCCTTTGATCACATCTGGGCGGGGGATGGGAGCAGCCGGGTGGTTGGCATTGTTTAGAAAGGTCTCCAAACTACGGCCCTCCAGGTGCTGAGAACTACAAGTCCCATGAGGCAAGACTCCCAGAGGCATGATGGGACTTGTAGTGCTTCAACAGCTGGAGGAGCCGTAGAGTCCGGCGTCCCATCGTCTGTAGGTCCCATCGCCCGTAGATCCCATCGTCTGTAGATCCCAGCGTCCCATCGTCTGTAGATCCCGGCGTCCCATCGTCTGTAGGTCCCATCGCCCGTAGATCCCATCGTCTGTAGATCCCAGCGTCCTATCGTCTGTAGATCCCGGCGTCCCATCGTCTGTAGATCCCAGCGTCTGTAGATCCCAGCGTCCTATCGTCTGTAGATCCCAGCGTCTGTAGATCCCAGCGTCCTATCGTCTGTAGATCCCAGCGTCTGTAGATCCCAGCGTCCTATCGTCTGTAGATCCCAGCGTCTGTAGATCCCAGCGTCCTATCGTCTGTAGATCCCGGCGTCCCATCGCCCGTAGATCCCGGCGTCCCATCGCCCGTAGATCCCGGCGTCCCATCGCCCGTAGATCCCAGCGTCCCATCGCCCGTAGATCCCAGCGTCCCATCGCCCGTAGATCCCGGCGTCCCATCGCCCGTAGATCCCGGCGTCCCATCGCCCGTAGATCCCGGCGTCCCATCATCTGTAAAGCCCATTGAACATAGAGCCCGGCATCCCAGCGTCCGTAGATCCCGGCATCCCATCATCTGTAGGTCCCATCGCCCGTAGAGCCCGGCATCCCATCGCCCCGTAGATCCCGGCGTCCCATCATCTGTAAAGCCCATTGAACATAGAGCCCGGGCGTCCCATTGTCCGTAGATCCCATCGTCCGTAAAGCCCATTGAACGTAGAGCTCGGCATCCCATCATCCGTAGATCCCATCGAACATAGAGCCCGGCCTCCCATCATCTGTAGATCCCATTGTCCGTAGAGCCCGACGTCCCATCGTCCGTAGAGCCCAATGTCCCATCGCCCGTAGAGCCCATTGAACGTAGAGCCCGGCATCCCATCATCCGTAGATCCCCCATCATCTGTAGGTCCCATCGTCCGTAGAGCCCCGGCATCCCATCATTCGTAGAGCCCATTGCCCATAGAGCCCGGCGTCCCATTGTCCATAGAGCTTGGCATCCCATCGCCTGTAGAGTCCATTGAATGTAGAGCCTGGCGTCCCATCGTCCGTAGATCTCATGATCTGTAGGTCCCATCGTCCGTAGAGCCCAGCGCGTCCCATCATCCGTAGAACCCGGCGTCCCATCGTCCGTAGAGCCCGGCGTCCCATCATCGGTAGAGCCCGGCGCCCATCGTCCGTAGAGCCCGGCGTCCCATCGCCCATAGAGCCCGGCGTCCCATCGCCCATAGAGCCCGGCGTCCCATCGCCCATAGAGCCCGGCGTCCCATCGCCCATAGAGCCCGGCGTCCCATCGCCCATAGAGCCCGGCGTCCCATCGTCCATAGAGCTTGGCATCCCATCGCCCGTAGAGCCTGGCGTCCCATCGTCCGTAGATCCTGTCGTCCATAGAGCCCATCATCCGTAGAGCCCGGCGTCCCATTGTCCATAGAGCTTGGCATCCCATCGCCCCGTAGAGTCCATTGAACGTAGAGCCCGGCGTCCCATTGCCCGTAGAGCTTGGCGTCCAATCGCCTGTAGAGCCCATCATCCGTAGAGCCCGGCGTCCCATTGTCCATAGAGCCCAGCGTTCCATTGCCCGTAGAGCTTGGCGTCCGATCGCCTGTAGAGCCCATCATCCGTAGAGCCCGGCGTCCCATTGTCCATAGAGCCCGGCGTCCCATCGTCCGTAGAGCCCATCATCCCATCATCTGTAGGTCCCATCATCCGTAGAGCCCGGCGTCCCATTGCCCGTAGAGCTTGGCGTCCCATCGCCCGTAGAGCCCATCATCCGTAGAGCTTGGCGTCCCATCGCCCGTAGAGCCCCCATCATCCGTAGAGCTTGGCGTCCCATCTCCTGTAGAGCCCGGCGTCCCATCGTCCGTAGAGCCCATCATCCCATCATCTGTAGGTCCCATTGTCCGTAGAGCTTGGCGTCCCATCGCCCGTAGAGCCCATCATCCGTAGAGCTTGGCGTCCCATCTCCTGTAGAGCCCATCATCCGTAGAGCTTGGCGTCCCATCTCCTGTAGAGCCCATCGTCCGTAGATCCTGTCGTCCGTCAGAGCCCATCCCATCATCCGTAGAGCCCAGCGTCCCATTGTCCATAGAGCTTGGCATCCCATCGCCCGTAGAGTCCATTGAACGTAGAGCCCGGCGTCCCATCGTCCGTAGAGCCCATCATCCCATCATCTGTAGGGTCCCATCATCCGTAGAGCTTGGCGTCCCATCGCCCGTAGAGGCCCATCATCCGTAGAGCTTGGCGTCCCATCTCCTGTAGAGCCCGGCGTTCCATCATTCCCATCATCCGTAGAGCTTGGCGTCCATTGCCCGTAGAGCTTGGCGTCCCATCGCCCGTAGAGCCCATCATCCGTAGAGCTTGGCGTCCCATCTCCTGTAGAGCCCGGCGTTCCATCATTCCCATAATCCGTAGAGCATGGTTCCCATAGTTCCTGCCGTCCCATCTGTAGGGGTACAGGGAAGGCTCTCTCAGTACGTATAGGTTTGGGTACAGGGGAGGCTCCCCCGGGGTGTATAGTTTGGGGGTACAGGGGAGGCTCCTCGGGTTTGTAGTTTGGGACAGGGAGGCTCCTCGGGGTTTGTAGTTTGGGGGTACAGGGGAGGCTC